CCCCAAGGGATGGAGTGTGGTAGGAGCAATATCTGCCATGTTTAGGCTAATTTTTTGTTACAGGTAAGACCTTGATGTTGACATAGCTTCCTGGTGGCAAAATAGTAAAAAGTCCATCAAAGGAGTAGTAAATAGCACTTCTCTCAGGATTCTGATTGGAAAGACCAAAATTTTCAATAGAAGGAGGGAACATGTACCCAACTGAATCAATGCTATATCCTTGCTTAATATCCTTTACCTTCATTGCCTAAGTAAACTTATGAAGTATGGCAAAACCTGTTTGTTAAGACTGTTGTGGTGGGCTGGGCCTGATTCTGGATTTGTCTGGTGCTTCGGATTCAGAATTAGAATGAAGTTAAACTGTCATAGACCATATAACAGATGGGCAGCTAGGTGACTAGATTGCTGACCCTGGAGTTAGAAGATGCGAGCTGGAATCCGGCCTACGACACCTAATATCTCTGTGAACATGAGCAAGTCATTTAACTCAGCCTCAGCTTTCTCACCTGTTAAATGAGGATAATAGATAATAGCCCCTGTTGTTGCTCAGTCGTTTCAGTCATGTCTCCATGTCCTCATATCCTTCGTGACCCCATTTAGGATTTTCTTAACAAAAATACTGTAGTGGTTTACCATTTCCTTCTCCAGCTCACTTTACAGATGAGGAAACTGAGGCAAATTGTGACTATCCAGGGTCACACAGTTAATAAGCGTCTGAGGTCACACTTGAACTCGGGAAGGTGAGTCTTCCTGACTCCAGGCCCAACACTCTATCCACTGCATAGCTGCCCCATATAGCATCTAATTCCCACAGTTAATGTAAGGGTCAACTAAGGAAACATATGAAAAGTGTTTTATAAACCTTAAAGTGTTATATAAATGCTAGCTATCATTATTATTACTCGGACATGGTAGATCCTTGAGATCCTCTCATCTAAATATGAGTAAATGTGATTACTCCATGAGAAAACTTCATTATCTGACCTATCCCCTCACTTTTATCCTTCCCAGCTTCTATTTCCAAATGTTGCTGTAGCTATTCTAACTGACAAGCAGGGCTAGACCAAAGAGAAGATTTTTACCCGGACACTTAGCTTTGCTGACTGTTATAAAAATGGCACTTGACATCACTCACTTCAATGTAATCATCAAGTATTTATCTGCTCCATTTTCCCCATCATGGTGCCTGGCCTACCTTTACCCTGTGCTAGGCCAGTTTTCTTGCTAAGATCTGTGCATTTGCAACTTACTTCTCCTTAGACAGACAACTTAGCTGTTAATCCCTTTATTACTTTCCTTAGAGATAGGGACAAGTAGTAACAGCTGCTCCAGAAATGGTCTCAGTCAGCTCTTCAGTAATACTCCCCAATTATAACAGCTGGATCAAACAACTTCTAGATCTAAAAAACCTATATTTATTTTAAGGTATGACAGAAGTAGAAACACCAATTTTCCATTTGACCATAATCAGGAACCAAAGAAAACATCCATTTGTTTATTTATATAAACTCTCTTGAGGTCACAACTAAAGGGAGCTCCGAAGTCCCCTGGGACTCATTTTCCCCACTAAGAACTGCCAATAGCAGGTTCCTTGACTTTGGTGTCAGAAAAACCTTTTAAAATCTTAATCTAAATGTCACCAAAGCTGATCAGACAGTGCCTTCCTCTAGGTATGAGGTGTTTTCCAATCTGTTTTCCTTCTCCTTTGAGGGTATATAATCTAGAAACCTGTTTGTTAAACTCTCTTTTTGCTACCTTAGACCATCCTAACTGTTAATTTCTTTATTGGTAGTTTTTACATTTTCCCCACATTACAAAACACTCTAGAATCGATTAGCATTCTGACACAGGTTCTTGTGGGTGGCAAGATTCCTCTACTCTTTGAAGATCAAGAAAGCATAGCATAATTTATCTTTCAGACAAATACCAAGTTAAAAAAATTAATGAAGGTGATTATTTAGGACAGGTCAACAACTCGTGCTTCTAGTATGTGACTTATTTTCATTTTGTTAAATTATCTGATAAACTATCATAACCTACTTCATATACTCTATCATTCTAGAAAACGGGCCTTACCAGTTATTACTTTTTACTCAGACTTGACAAACCATTCATATCTGGAACGCACTCCTTGATTACCTTTTCCTCTTGCACCATTTATCAATATTTATTCAAGGCTCAGGTCAGGTGTAACCTCCCTATTTCTCTCACCTATCTCTCCTCCTCAAATATTCCCAGAACACTCTGATGACTCTCTTCTTTACCCCTTCATTCCTTATCATGAATTATCCTTATCTGTGCACATCCCATGGAGAGCTTCAGTTTTTGTCCTCATACCCCAATTACTTGGCACAGTCACTTGAACACTCTGTGACCTCTCCTTTACCCACCTCTTGTTCATTCCCTACCTTACATTAAACTTGTGCAAATTGTATCTGCCCAATACAATGTAAACGCACTGAAGGAAGGGGCTCTTCCATTTTTATCTTTATGCCTAGTACAGTGTCTTGCATAGTCCATGTGCCTAATAAATGTCTGTTGACTTGAATCTTACCAGAAAAATTTAATAAAGCTGCTAGACTGGGGATTAAGTCAAAATGATTAGACTTGTTTTTCAAAGAGTAGACCTGAAACAACAATTTACTTTAGAGGTAAGTAAACAGCCAGGCAGGAGTGGAAATGGATTCTTTTTAGTACAGTGGTGGTAGGAAGTCAGTGGTGCCAAATGATATTTTATCAGTGCCATCACAAGAGTGAGCAGTCCCACTGAGGTCATTAATTCTCAGTGTTAATAAGGATGATGATGGTGATACCTTACGTTTGTATAAAGCCCTACAGCCTACAAAGTGCTTTTTAACATATACTATCTCAGTTAGATCCTTATAATCCTAACTTGACTTGATAGGACATTTTAAACAATTCTAAAGTAAATACTGCAATGACATTCTTGTTTAATTTTGGCTGAGGCCATTTTTTTTTTAAGTATCAGAGATCTACAACTATCCAAACACCAGCTTGGGTTCTCAGCTGTTCTAGTATAGACCACTTCAATTCTTTGATGCATCTGTGATCTCATGGATTTGGGTGCTCTCTCCAGAGATGCAGACAGCAACACAACTATGCCCAAGGTAGTTTAGCATATGGTTTATAACTATGTCTACATGACTTTTGTCTGAGTCTTCCAGTAAATTTGTCAATGTGTCCAGTAACTTAACGAGGTAAATTACTTTATTATTATTATTGTTGTTCCCATTTTGTTGTTGTTCAATAATGTCCAACTCTTTGTGACCCCATTTAGAGTGTTCTTGACAAAGATACTAGAGTGGTTCACCATTTCACTCTCCAGCTTATTTTACAGATGAGGAAACTGAAGGAAACAGGGTTAAAATGACTTGCCTGGGATCACACAGCTACTAAGTGTCCAAGGCTGGATTTGAACTCAGGTCTTCTTGACTCCAGGCCCAGCGCTTTATCTACTGTACCACCTAACTGCCCCATCTTAGAGATAGACAAATTGAGAATCAGGTTAAATGACAATGACATAATAAGTAGTATTAGAACTAGAACCCAGATGTTCTGACTCCCAAGTCCAATCTTTTTTCTATTACACAGCATGGTCCAGAATCAGTATTCATTCTGCAGATGTTCTTCTACACAAGTAATCTCTTAGGTTTTTCATTCACTAGGGAAGAAAACCATTCTAAATTTATCAACAGCCAAAGGAAAAATACCTACTTGATTACTTCAAATAACGTCACCTTCTGAATCTGGCAAAGACACTATCTCATCTTCATCCAAAATTAATCTTTTCACAGAATCATAGAGCTCGGATGGATCTTTGAGGCTTTCTACTTTAATGTCATCATATTAGATGTGAGGCAATTGGGGTCCAGGTAATAAGTGGCAGACTTAGAATATATTAAGGACCTGGTAAATAATGTAGACCAGGAAAAAAAGAAAAGGATTGCCTCTTTCATTAGCATAGACTCACATAAAATGGGTATGCCATTGTAAAATGTTTAAAAGTTGTTTAAATTAACCAAATTTTCTTATTAATTACAGATTTTATATCGCGTTTTCTTTAGGCATTTGTTTACTCATTTATATCAAACACTAGTCAAAATCATATTTGGACAATTTTCAGATGATTTTGTGCTTTAAAAGTAATTAAATAACTCACATTATTTCATAAATCTTATGTAAGACCTAGAAATAACTGCTTTTGTGAAGAGAGAAAGTCTGGCAATTAAGACTCTCTCACAAATTACAGTACTAAAGTTGGCCTCAAGACAATGACTAAGCAATAAGCACTTTCATAAAAAAATTTTATTTCACACTTTTATACAAATATCCACAGGTACGTTCTTAAAATGGAATGATTTTACAACGTTAGTTAGTATAAAAATTGATCAAATGCAAACAGACCAGTGACTTGACTTGAGATGACATTTTTAACAATTCTAAATTTAACACTGCAACAACATTCTGCTTTTTGTGTTGTTGAAAACTACACTGACTTCAGGACATTCACTTTTTATTAACAAAGGCCTACAAACACTGCCAACATAAGCAGCCTCTTAGCAGCTTATAAAGCCAGTACATTGGGATCTTGAGTTATCCAGGCAAGAAACTGAATTTTTAAACACTGATGATACCTTGTTTTTTGAGACTAAAATTGTAAACAAAATACAATTTGTGTAAATGTCTCTATGAATGAAGACTTCTGAAATGCGTAAGAATTTTAAGGGCATATAGTTCCTGAAAAGGAAAAAAAAAATAGCCCAAACTGATGAAAGCGCACATAATAGTATTTTGTACTTCAGGAAATTTCTTATACTAGTATCAAACTAATTAGCACCTTCCTCCTTTCCCTCCCCATATAACTTAACATTTTAGAACATGATAGTTAAGTAAATGTTTTGTGATGCCTGTTTCTATTCAAGATATAATCAATGCTATCGCCTTATTATGTCAGTAGAATGCAATAAGCAATTCAAAGGTATTGTATCGTTCTTATTTTAATAATCACAAAGTCATTCAGGGAACATAGCTTGGAGAAAAAACATCAATGTACTCTTTTGATGGCTCTAATAGTAACCAAAAAATTAAAAGTCATGCTATCGTGTCTGAAAAATAAAATCACTGTTTTGACATTAGAGCATCATTCAGTAGTCTTAAATTGGATCAGTTCAGATCCACCATATGCACCTACCTTTTTTCCAAGTGCTATTAATAGAGAGCATCTGGAGGAGTGAGGGATGGGGACAAACTAGTCCATTTCCTCCAAGATTTCATTAAAGCATGTGTGTGATGTTCTGAAAATAGTTGCTGGAGGGCAAACAAAATGCACCCCTTCCCCAAAAAAAGAATCCTGACTGTTCAGTAAGGACAAAATAATCTTAGAGTTAAATCCTATCTCTTAGCCAAACCCAGATCTAGATGGAGTTTAGGAAGAATGAGGGTAGGAAGAAAGAAGAGGGGAAGATGCTACAATATATAGCTAAGTTTTAAGTTATTAAAAAAATATCTCTGGTATATTTATAAAGAATTATTATTTTCTTTTTGCAGTGAAAGATTTAGGTCAAAACCACTAACCACCTATGTACTAACTCTGAACACCTAAACCAATCAAAGAAAGGTAAATTGGATAGTCTTTGGCCTATGTGTTAGTTAAAGGCAAAATGATTTATGACAAAAATAAATACCAGGGCTAAAATATATACAAAAAATATAACTAGTATTCAAGCCTGTTGTGTTTGTGTGTGTGTGTGTGTGTGTGTGTTTGTGTGTGTGTGTGTGTTAGTCAAAAGAGAAGATGATAACCTGTGTATTTTGGTGTGAGCAGTATTCACACAAATCTGAGGTTAAAAACAAGATGGTGGGATGGCAGCATCACCTTCTATTGCACATTTACTTGAAGACAGTACTTTAGCTTAAACCACTGTCGATTTAAAGTTCTCCAATTCTAGTGGAAGAAATGTTTGCAAAGGTAATACTAGAATTATGAAACTTACTACATGCCAGATATCAGCATGACTGATAATGGTGGCTTTCTTTCTAATATACTAATGGGAAGATTTCACAGGACATACAACTCAGCATACCCTTTCTCATCATGGGTCAGCCACACCAAAATGAAAGGCAATCTGGAAATTTAAATTAAGGCAGTTAAAAAAAAAATCAGTTCCAACCATCTCAAATTTAGCTGTGCAAAATAAAAGCCTTGGGATACGTAACAATATCCACAGTTTAAAACTGTAGGTCCATACTGTCTGTAGTAAGTCTGAAACCAATCCTCAGTTACTGAAGGAACTTTTAAAATCCATTTAAATTTCTGAGTTGGAAAACAAGAGAACAGTCTGGAGAGTGTGCTGTTTTTCCCCCTAGGAGTAGCTTTCATCTTCATTCCATTTTGTGATCCACTGTTTTTTGTCCAGGCCATCATTATATTTCTCATCTTTGATCTGTCGTTCCTCTTTCCGGATTCTTACAGCATGGTATCGCGGAACGCTGTCATCGTACCTGGAGCGCTTAAAGAATCCACACTAGAGAAGAGGCAGAACAAGGGAACAAAAATATTCAGTTACAAAATGCAAAAAAAAAAAATGTACTAAGCAGGAATAGCTAAGCTTTTTTTTCCTTTTAAAGTAATGCCCACATGTGGGAGAAAAGAAATAATTTTCCTTAAGAAAGGAACACATGTGTCTGAAAAGAAAAATGGCTGAGGTTGGAGAAGGGGAGAGTAATGGAGTGACAAGAGCTTATGCAACTAAAGGCCAAGTCCATTTTCACCTGTTGACTTTGGATTAAATTTCTTTTTCTTTTTTTACAACAGCGAAACCTATCTCTGTTCTAACAATTTAGGAGTCACTGGGAAAATGCTTCTACAATTTAACAAATAATCACAATATTATATCTGAATTATAGCTCATTTTAAAATCACACTAGGGGAGTCGTTTCAGCATAAAGGACATTTTGGAAATAGATTAGGAGCTAAATCAAGCCTGAAAAAAAAAAAAAGAGAAAAGGTTTCCTTGCCAAAATAAATTGATGTTAAGTCACAAACATTTTGCAAGATGTTATTTGAATATACCAGTATGGTGTAACTGGCATATTTAAAAACCTTACCTATGCCTCTTGTTTAAAGCTTCATTGCTCATATCATCTCCTGGGAGCTATATGCCATCTCAGTTGTATGGGACATGTTGACCTGTCTCCAAGTTAATCTCTTTTCTTTACAAGTAATGAAGTCACTGTGTGCTAGCATTAAGCTGAATTATACACTGCCCAAGCCTTTTGTTTGTTTGAGATACTGTGGGATTCACAACGAATTGAAATAGCTCCTCTTTTTTCTTAGAAAATACAAGATGCCTTTTCCATTGAAAGTACTATGTGAATTAAGTACTTTAGTTGTATCTACCTTGCTCAGTTGAAAGACAATGCAATCTGAATGGAAATTTTCTAGGTTATTTCAGAATCAAAAACTGTTTGGAATGCAGTGTGGTAGTAAAGGAAAGAGTATTCCAATTTAGAAATGCAGCTAGATGATGGATGATGAGGATATTTTAGAATGAAGGATTAGACTGTTTATTATGCAACTACCTATAGAAACAGAATGCTTATGTTGAATGGTATTACAGTATTATTAAAATACCATGGTAAAAATGCATAAGTATTAATACAGCAATAGGGAAAAAAAATGGCATGAGAGCTTTCATCTCAAGGCTACTTCTATGTTGACCACATTTTTTTCATGATTTATAATCCCAGATCAGATCACAATAGTATCTACCTACCATAAAACACAGCTGTTACCCCATTTAAGCAATGCAGTAATTTAATGAACATTCAATGGCATGAGAGAGAAGTAGTATGCCACTGAAATTTGAGTGGGGTGCCAAACAGCCATGGAAAGGAACAAGAAGTTGGGAAAATGTCATCCTTTCCCTGTTTACCAAGATGTCAAAAAAAAAAAATGAGAAAGGGAAACACTCAACTTCTCCCATGGGTTCACAAATAAGAAAAGTAAAAGGAAATCTAAAAACTTAAGTGAAACCTCTAAAAAGAGAATACAGAGGTCAAAGTCCACTACAATAAACTCATTATTCTGTTGAACTGAAATTTCTTTGTATCTGTTACTACTCCACTAGTGCATCGAGCTTAAAATCTTAATTAGAGACATTTTGGTCATAATGTGCTGAAATGGACTTTGGCCTGTCTTGTGTTTGCAGCAAACCGAGGCTGCATCTCTTGATCTTAGCAGCACATTTCTGAACAACAAAATTATTCCAAACTATCAATTCCCCCCTCCATTTAATGTAAGTAGATTAAAATGATAATGATGAAAAAATTAGGTAAAAGTAAAATGATGAAAAACCCTTTTCATCAAGAGAAATAACATGTTTTCAGCATGCAACAAAGGTTAATAAAGCAGCCAACATCCCTTCTAGTTATAGGCAATTCTGTGACTGACAAAAAAAAAAATCAGTAGCAATTTCTTATATGTGTTTAAAATCTCCAATTTTGCTCACTATCCAGTAGTGAGTGTATATATATGTATGTGTGTGTACACACATGCACACAGGCATACATATATACATACACATATGTAGCAAGCTACATTATTTGATTATAGAGATTTGGGATATTCTTTGTTTAAGAATACATAAGGATTAAAATTTTTGCTACTGTTTTGGGTTGTATTGGAATGGATGGGAAGGAGGGAAAATCATTTGTAGCTGAAGGGTTTTTCTTATACTTTCTTGAAAAAACAAAAGCACGTAAGCATTCAAATGCAAATAATGAAATAAACAAAAGCAAGCAAGCACATGGAGATAACATGGAAACTCATCTGTTAATAGAACCAATGCAGCAAGCTCTTTCCCTAAACATTAGCCACCACAACCACAGCAGGTCCCACAGCTAGCAATGAAAAAACATTGATCAATTACCAATTACAGAAGTAGCTCAATACTATGCATCAGAAGTAAGCCTCTCTTTATCAGATGGCTGAGCATGGATCTCAGCCTTGTGATATGTGGCATCATAATGATCTTTCTTATTTCTCTTGAAGAAACCACACTATAAGGAAGCAAGGTACTTAGTCAATTTCACAGATTGATGTACAACAGCCAAACAAAAGAAAACTCAGAACTTGATCCGTTTACTTCTATAGCCCATCTATAAAGATACCAATTTTAGCAGCCAGTAGGTAAGACAGCACTAAATATTTGGGGTAACATTTAACCTGATCCCTCCAGGACATACAGCCCCTCCTACTGATTTTCCTTTTACTACTCCAACAACTAAGGAACCAATATGGGTTAACATCAGAGGGGAATGGGTTTCATTCATTCAGAAGAAAAATGTCAAGGCACGCATTTTTTCCAAACGGAAGGCTTAAACATGCCAACCTGAGGCTTTGGCTTCATCGAGAAGGTACGTTGTACCCTTCTGCAGAAGGTCAAAAGGCTGACCTTTGCTGTTTGTTCAGACAATAGTTAGGAAATGAATTCTCTGAAGTCAGACTTTGCACAAATCCTAGGAAAAGAGCTTCTGAGAAGTTTTTTTTCCCCTTCTTTCACAATAAATTCTGCAGCACAAATACCATCTATTTGAGGCCTAGGGATTTGTGGAGCGAATTACAATACAAATTTGAAGACAGCACAGTGAAAGAATGATTGCTGTCATTTTCACAAATTCTGGATGAACATGAAACCCTCAAACGGTAGAACCTTAAGTGAATTAGGTTAGGTCACTCTAAATGAGTATAAAAGCATTATCCCACTTTCCACTGTAATTTCCTTCATATAACTGGAGAACTTGGTCTATTTACTTATACTCAGTTCATAAGGCCTTCAAATTATACTTTGAAATATAGCTTGGCCTGATGGATCTGTGACCTTTGGCGAATTCAGCTTCTTATGCTGACAAATGTTATGAAGGAAAAGTTATACCTAGTTGATGTTGGGAAATGTATGCTTCTTTGCGAAACCACCTAGTGATTTCCCAATTATCCATGCTAATGAAGAGACAGTGGGACCTAAAGAAGAAGTGTCAAACTCTTGAGAGCAAAGCCCAAACCAGATTAAAATATAATTGGGGAATGCTTAACAAAATAAATAAAAAAAACAACATAGATAATGTTAATTTGTGGTTTTCTAAGTAGTCAATATGCAGATCCAATCCTTTTCTATTTGAGTTTGACACCACTAGCTTAGTAGACGGAACACCACTGCAGTCAGGAAGTCCTGATTATGACATATACTAGTTCTGTGTCACTTAACCTTCTGATGCTCCAGGCAATTCTCTGATACTACTAAATTAATGTAAGTTGTTGATCTGTATTGGTGGAGACATGTTCCCCACACCAAGAATTTACAGGTCTGGATCCCCCAAATGGAGGAAAAAATCAAGGCCTTGGTATGATGAGAGTAACCATAAAATAATAAGTCTTAGTCACATGTATATTCTGTACAAAAACTTAAAAGAAAACTGAGCTATAGAATGGCAGATCTGGAATGGACCTTAAAAATTAAACAATCAAACTTCATCATATTTCAAATAAGAAAACCGAGGCAAAGAGAGATTATGTGATTGAGCCAAAACAACACAGCTAGTTGATGGGAGTACTAGGGCCAGAAGTCACATCTTTTAAGTGCCTTTCCATGACATCAATTTTTAAATGAAAAGCTATTAGCAAGGCTATCCTTAGGCACTCCCTAACACAAAAACACTTTTTTCTTGACTTCATTTTTCGTAATTTTTTTTTGGCACGGGTTGGTTAGACTTGTCCCAGACTATGAAAAACACAATTGCATCAATTTGATGCTTGAGCAGTAGAAGGTCCACATCGAGCTAATGGAGGTCAGGCTCTAAGATTCACTGTGAATTAAAAATTCTTGGGATAACAAGAACTCTGCGAGAGGTCTAAAGAAAGACTTCACTTTGGGAGAAACAACTTACACGTGGCAGGAACTGGAGAATGCAGAGTTCTCATTTGTTATAGCTGAAAGGGGAAATAGTATTCTGCATAGCCCATTATTCTCTGAACTCTATTTGTAATTTCTTTAATTTATTTGTAACTCTCTATTGTAAAGAGGGTATCTAGATAGTACAGTGGCTAGAGCACCGATCTGGCTTCAGACACTTACTAGCTATGTGACCCTGGACAACTCACTTAACTCTGTTGGCCTCAGTTTCCTCATCTGTAAAATGAGCTGGAGAAGGAAATGGCAAACCACCCTAGTATCTTTGCCAAGAAAACCCCAAAATGGGGTCATAAAGAATCGAGCACGACTGAAAACGACTAACCAACATCAACAACAACAAAAATTGTAATATGAAACAAGAGAATTGTACATTACCAGTCATACTAAAAACTCAGGCTGCAAAATAGTGTCTATATTTTGTAACCTCTAGGAACAGTATACATACAGGCAGAATCCTCATAAAGGATACATGTAGGAAATAGGTATATATATATATATATATATATGTGTGTGTGTGTGTGTGTGTGTGTATACACACATATATATATAATCCTCATATAAGATGTATGATATATGTATACAACATATAAATCCTCATATAGCATACATATAGGAAATCATACGAGGATGAGTACAAGCTGTGTGGTGGAAATGTTTTTTAATGTGGTAAAGTGATTTCAGAAAGGGAAGAGGGGAAGGTATTTTTACAGTTAAAAAGAAATGAAAATTTTCCATATAGGCTTCTATTATGTTTAGAATAGAAAGTATGGGTGGTATTTTTTTCATATTGATTCCAAGTTTTGCTCACCTCATTCGGTCATTTCACGTGGGGGGAGTATGGGTTGGGGGAAGGGTGTGGCCAAAGCTTGCCAACACTACAGTAGCCAGCAATTAAGGATCTGTTTGATCCCAAATGAAGAGCATGCCAGTCTCAAGCAACAGAAAGAAATCCAGTATTGCTAAAACATATTTAGTTATGTGTTCTATGGTGGTACATTAAGGTGGCTGAACTTCACACATCAAAACTGTCCACAATATTCAGATAATTATAATTTGCTGACCTCACTCTTTTAAAAACCAGTAATTTTAAAAACATGAAATAAAATGCTGAATAAAACCCACCTTCCATAGTAAAAATACTAATAGAGCAAGCATCAGAATTCCAGCAAGGATAGCCACAAGGATGATCCACCACGGCACTCCAGAATACTGTGCGACTGTCTTTGAAGGAAATACCGTAACACGGACCTGTGAGACAGCAGAAATCACGTGAGGATGAGTGTATGCTGTGTGAAGGAATGCAAAGAGCAAGAGTTTGAGAGACTAATTCTAGCACGGATTTTGCCATCAAAGGCAGTTTAGGTAAGGCCATCTATGAAATATACTCAATTTTAAATGGAAATTTTTTCCCTCTATTAACTGTGTAATACGTTCCACACTTGCTTCCTTCTCCAATCCTGCCTTCTTCACTCTAGGCAGACTCAAAAGGGCTACAAGTCTACAATGATCAAGCTCTTTTTTCCCCCAATTAAAAGTTCAGTAAGGGAAAGAACTGTTAAATTAGTAGAAAGAATGTACATGGACAATAAGCATTCCCAAACACTTGAGAGGTGGCAGTGAACATCACCAAGGCTGGTGGAGGGCAAGGAAGTCAGGAGGGATGTTGGCATGCATAAATATTTTTCCTTGGACAGAAGCAGCTTGGTGGAGGGAATCAGGAAGACCCCTCCACATTCAAGTCCCTCATCTACCACATATTGGCTATGTGATTCTGGAAAATTCATTTCACCTCTCAATGGTCTAGGAAATTCTCTAAGAGTATAATTTGTGATCTGCCCTGGTCAAAGAAGTTCCTCCCCAGGAACTCACAGCACTGAGGAAATCTCAGACCTGGTCAATAAAACTGACCTGCATCCTTCCTAACTCTTTGCTTATTCAATACTGCTCCCTACACTAGCAATATCCTCTTTACCTCCTTTGCCTGGTAAACTGCTGACCATCCTTTAAAGCCCAAATCAAATGTTATCTCATCCCTGAAGCTTTCCCTGATGCCCCCATCAGGATGGCCTTCCCCTCTGTCCCTCACATGACACTTTGATACCTTCTCTAAGGCACTAATGCATCGTTTGGTAGGTTTGTCTTCTCTTATGACAATGTCCCAATGAGGGTTAATTACACCTTATGTTTCCTCCCACTCCAGCTCCACTAATGGCCTATTCACAGCAAGTTTTAAATAAATATTTATTTAAAAAACAAATAAATGTTTATTGAACTGAATTACTGATCAGTAATAATATTAAGAACATTTAGCTTTGAGAAAAAGGAGATTGTCAGTTTTCAAATATTTGTATGAATGAGGAAGTAAATATGTTTTGTATTACTCCAGAGCGGAGGTTCTTAACCCAAAGTCCATGGTCCCCTTAATCTATAGAGAGAGGCCAGGGAGTCTATGAACTTGGAAACTTTTCATATTTGGATAATTACTTCAACATAATTGGCTTCCTTTATAATACCATGGATTTTGCTTCGTACATTTAAAAATGTTATTCTGAAAAGGAGTCCAAAGACTTCATCTGACTGCTAAAGGGATAGATGACACACAAAAAGTTAGGAACCTCTGCTCTATAGCATATAGCAGAAAGCAGAAGAATTATTGATGGATAGGAGCAATGTTGTGCTAATAAATCTTTAACAACCAGTTCTCTGAAAACACATAACACCATTTTAAGTGTAATCTGCATTATCAGCACTTCTTTATCACCTTCTTAAATCTAAAAAAAAAAATCAACAAAATAATAAATCAAGCCCTGATTTGCAGCATTTGCTCATTTCTGAAGTATAAATACTCACAATTAAAATTTAATAAGGCTTTTGAAAGCCTACACAAGTCAACTCTAGTACATTCCTGGTTAGAAGTTACAAAGAGACCAACTTAGGCTCAACATAAGGAAGAATTTCATAATAATTAAAGCCATTCAACAATGGAATAGGATTCTTTGTGAGGTAGTAAGCTCCCTATCACTCAAGGCATTCAAATACAATTTTCTACAGCAAATTCATTGTCACAGTCCCACTTGACTCAACTGTTCTGTGAAGACATGCTACTTTTGTGTTTATTGTAAATTAACCATGAGAAACCATTTGGCTCTATAGAGTGAAATGTAGCTTTTAAGATTCTTCTCCAAAGTTTCTATTATGCAAATGTTAAGATCATGCAAGACTTTCCTAAAAGATGAAACCACAGTTATAACTTCAATCAATGATTCTCTGATGATCAATATTAAGTAAGACATAAAACACAGAGACATATGCTTGCCAAAGGTTGGCCACATTTTAGGGGAATGTCCTGTGTGGAGTCAAAATGGAAGAGGGATTACCCAGAGATACTGAGGTTCTCTCAGCGTTCATGTTTGGAATTGTGCTGATTGCATCAATTCCTCAAATACTACAGGTCCTCTTCAATGAGATACTTTACTTCTCAAAGGAGATCATCCCAATAATCACACAGGTAAAGTCAAGTAGATGAAGAATAAATATGCTTACTGGCCAGATTAGAGCATACTATTGATTTGGCAGCCCCACTGAGTCAATCAGTGCAAGTGCCTTAAACAAACATAGCAAATAGACACGGACATGGGTGCAAAATTGAACAAGTGTAGGACAGAAGACTATCCTTCATTTGGGAAATTGTGAAGCTCTATCAATGATCTCAAGATGCTCCCTTTGGTTACCCAAAAGGCAAAAGAAAGATATATGGTGGTTCTAAGTGAGTTACAGAGTATTAACCTAGAAGTAAGCTATAGAGTACAATGATAACTTTCACTCAAGAGGACTAGAAGCCAGGATTATTTTGGTTTAAAGGAGGTCATTGAAGACCTGTTTAACTGGAAAATAAGTCAAGCCAGTTATGTATAGATTGGAAGGGTTAACAGATGGGCAGTCTGTTATACCTGTATCCATAAAATATTAAAAGACCCAGAGAAGGCTTCTAGGTTGTTTGGGTACATCTGGAGGTTTTTGGAGGTTCTATGGAAGAAAATGAACAAGAATCACATAAGATGAGAAAGAAAAGATGGTTTACAAAATTCACTAGTGGAGGTAATGCCCACATTTATGAGTTAATGGATCTATCATCTTAAAAAAACATGAGAGGATTGGCCTAGATCAGGGGTATTTAACTTGAAGTCTATGAACTTGGTACAACAGTATTTCAATATAATTGGTTTCGTTTGTAGTCCTGAGTTTGATGCATTTAAAATCTTTATTCTGAGAAGGGGTCCATGACCCATAAGAAATGTTAAGATTACCTGACTTAAATACTCCTTGCAATTCCTCCAAACTCTAAAATTCAATTATTCTATAACTCATTCTACAAATACTTTTGATAATTTAATATGTGCAAGGATAGATGATTTCTAGGTTTCATGCTAACTCTAAGAGTCTATCAAAATGCATACACCTTTTTATGGGAATGGGGAGACGTATAAGGAAGAATGGAGAGTGGAATGATGAGAGACATGAGGGTACAAACAAAAAAAACATTGACAATTACAGTTTTATTTACCAACTAGCCCAGAAAAAGATCAAAATGATTCTGAAACTACTCACTTGAGTCCCTGCATTTGGAACCTTAATATTCTCTGCAGCAGCAGTAACATTAATGGAAGCCTGAAGAAGAATATCTAAGTAGTTCAGCTTGGAATATTCCTATTTGGGGAAAAAGATAGTACACACATCAAAGAAATGTCTGATTTCTATAAGAAAGCAAACATCTCCAAACAAGTGTCCCATTGTGAGGCCATACCTCTAGGAATGTACCGTTCCACAGTCTTGACCGTAATATAACAGAAGCTTTACTGTCCAAACCGTGTAGGGGACATTTTATGTTCACACAGTTAACATTTGTGCTACAGTTCTAGAAAGAAATTAAAATTGAAAAGTTGAAATGTAATGTACCAAAGAATGCTAATAATCTGCCAAATCTCTTAAAGAACACTTACAAGTGTCTGATATTTTCTTTCTGCAAATAAAGAAAATTTTCTGCCATCATCTGTCTGTTTCTCTGCAATTTCTCGTTTCTTTCTAGAGTTGTGAGGAGATTCCTGAAGGAGAAGGAGAAGAATTGTCACCAGGAAGATCTCAAATGGTCAAGTGGTTCTGCCTTTCCTTTTTCCCCATACAATGTGGACCTTTACTTATCATCCCTCCCAAAATGACTTCAAATCTACATTTTTATATTACAGTCACACATAGATTCCTTCTCCACAATTTTATGTACAAAATCAGTAGAAATTTTCATCATTTAAACTTTTTGACATTTAATGATTTTTAAGAGCAGGCAGATCATCCCAGGCTTACATAAACATATGCTGAAATAAAGAACATACTCCCCAGAGAATTAGTTAGGGCATAAAGAGCCCATCACTACACTTGTGTAAGGAACTCCCAGGGAGAAAATTTCTTCTATTAATGTAGATTAGCACCGACTTGGAAACTTTTGAGTCCTTTAGACAGATGCCCAGGGGCACTGAGATGTTATGGGTTACATAGAGAGTACATTTCAGAGGCAACATTAGAGCCCAAGTCTTCTAGCCACTAAGGCCAACTCTCATGCTACCTTCTCACTGGTCCAGAACAAAAAAAACAAAACAAAACAAAACTAAAAAAAACCCCTTACACCTGTGTTTCATTCTAAAGGACATTTTCAATGGCCAACAAATGTTCTACAAAACATCTTTGGCTGATACGGTGAGGCAAAGCAGAATTGAAACTACCTGTCCAAGTCTCTAGCATGACTGAAGAATTATTCATTATAATTAATGACATTTCTGTAACACATTTAAGATCTGCAAAGGGCTTTCTGTACATTACCTCATTTGATCTTCATAATAACCCTGTGAGGTAAAGATTGACAATAGCATTGTCTCATGTTACAGATGAAGAAACTGAATCTTAACAAGATAAGTGACTTGCTCATGGTCACCTAGCCATTAAGTGTCAAAAGGCAGGATTAGAACCCAGGGCTTTCTGACTATAAGTCCAGCTCTATTTTCACTGTACCATAGTACCACACCAACCACAGTATTATGCCTCCCAACTCTTCTCACCTCTCAAAAGATTTTATCCTATTATTGGCCATCACATTTCAGAAGTTTTGATTTCCTGGATTGAGTCCTAAATTAAAGGCAGCTCTAGCCTTTGGAATTGGGCATTTAATCTGAAAATTTCTCACTCTTCCTTGGTAACTTACACGTTGATTTCCTCAACAAAGTTCGGTTAATGTATCAAAGCAATCCTCTCCCATTTCACTGACATAATGACATTAGGTAAGTTATAAGCTAACAAAACCCTTACTAACATACCTTTAGTCCCAGAGAGTTAATTTCATCTTGTGGCTCACAGTTTATTTGTTCCAACCCTTTGGATTCTATTTTCATCAAATAAAGCAGCCATTTGCCATTGCTAATTTCTTTGGGCCACTGAATGTTTAGAGATGCTGTGCCAAGATTTTTAAGAGGTTTACCTAAATTAATTACCTGTTGGAAAATAATAATGCATATGTTATCTCAAAGTAAATTCTCTTAATGCAAATTTACAGCAGCAGTTACCTCTCATAAGCAGCTGGAAAAATGTCAAGAGTATTTGATGCAAAAACTGAATGAGAGCATAGAGAGGCGTTGGAAGCACAGATTCTGGGGCCGTGTTTGCTCATGGAGAGGACAAGGGCAAAGCACACTGGTCTCCTGATCCGTGTCTATGTAATCAGGTCATCACCATTAACTTCAAATGTAAAGATACCCATTGGAATCTCCTTGTGTTGCTGCTCCCATGGGTCAGGAATGACACCTCTATGACAGACAAGGCATGTCATAGCAGGCTTTTACTGTATGTAATTGCTATATTTCTGAGCTCAGTATTTTTAGTCACAGGAAAGAGAAATCTATATATGATTTTACAGCAAGATTCAATGTCATATGGATAAAGTCAAGCAGATATTCAAACAATGTAATCATCTGCTGTGTAGCTAGTCCCCAGGGAATTTTTCATCACTTCAATGTTGTTGTTCAACACACCTCCAAGCCTCCTTTCCCACTATGGTCAGTATGTTTTACAAAATATAAACCCAGTTTTACATTCCTTAAGTAAAACAAAACTAGGAAGGTAAACCTGTTGAGAGAAACAGAGATATTACCTTCCAAAACCAACATGCATACATATATACATACATACATACATATATATATACACACACACACACATACATATTTTAGATTTTCATTAGTACAAGTAATTACAAGGTGCCAAGTTGCCTCAGTTCCTCAACTGTACAATGAGCTGGAGAAGAAAATGGCAAATCACTCCAATATCTTTGCCAAGAAACCCCCAAATGTCTGACAAAGGGTCAGACATGATTGAAACACTGAATAACAAAGAATAAATGAATATAGTGCCTACCATGCACCAAACACTATGCTAAGTGCTTTACAAATATTATCTCATTTGATCCTCATACCAATTCTGTGAATAGGTCTATTATTATCCCCATTTTGCAATTCAGGAAACTGAGGCAAACAGAGAATATAAAACGTTAGAGGTTGGATTTGAACTTAAGTTTTCCTGAGCCCAAGTCTTGCACTGCACCCTTGGCTGTGTAGAGTATAGGATAAGTACAATGTAAAATAAGGATAGCAAGGTCAGACTGTGGGGGCCCTCAAATGCTAGGCTAAGGAGTCTGGAGCTTATTTGGTAGACAATGGGGAGACAAGTAAAAAAATGAAATGATTTATATGAACACCATATCTTACACACATTTGCTCCAACTCACCCTGAATTCGTATTCTATTAAGTTTCCAATTTCATCTTCAGATTTCATAGCTCGCTCACCAACAACAGTACCTCCAAAGTACACCTGGGAAGGTTTAGCAACTCTGTTAAATTAAAAAACACTGGGTTTCAGTAAAGATTGTAAATGGTTCTTTCAAACATTGATTTGTTATGCTAAATACAAACACTTACCCAGAGACCGACAAAAGCAGTTCAATAACCACTTTAGCTTTAGCTGTAATTGAAGCCAAATTATCTTGATTGCTTGTTCTGAAGTGAAAAGGAAACAATGAGGTTTTATTTTAACAGTTTTTTCATTATAATTACACTTCTTTCATGAGTCAGATCACAGGCAATTCATAGAGACCTACACATTCATGGTACAAGGCTAAATGATGAGATTGAGGAAAAAGAACTCTTACGTTTCCAACTTCAGATTCACGTCCAGGTCTGTGGTATCAAAGGTGACTTCTGTTGTACTTAATATCAAATAAAAAGTAACCTAAAAAAGAGAAACACAAGTGTATGTCAATTAACGTGAATCTAATCCTATCAAAATCTTAACAACATTTTAAAATAATAAAATGAAAAAAAGTTAGCACCCACACTGGAATTTCTCTTAAAGGGGTTTCCAAGTTCACAGTCTACTTGGGAACCATTTACATTGGCTGCACAACTCAATTGTTTTTCCTATGAAAGAAAAAAAAGTTAGGTCAAAATGTCAAATGCTGAAGATTTATGTGTGCATATGAAATACACACATCCACTTTCTTCCTCCCTTTTTGTCTTTCTTTAAGGACACTCACAGGATAAGCCCTCAGCTCTCTGTATGCAGAATAAGTTAAGGTATCAGGAAAAGTTGCAATGAGTTTCGCTTCATGGGCATCATCCCCATCTTTTGTAGGATTCCTGGGATTGGAAGGGCTATTTGTCACTGTTATTTCTAAAGCAATATCCTTCTGGTCTTTGAGAACAAGCTCTGGGACGCCATTGTGACTATAAAAAGACAGAGACAACAGAATCATTCTCAAGACACTTGAAATTCTTCCTCATCAAATGGCCCTTGTCAAATGATAGCAGTTTATGCTAATGCTACAAAAGAGATTCTTACATTGGTAAATAAGAAAATTTGTCTTGGTTGCCGTCTCGCGTACAAAATCTGTACTCTAATTTCAGATTGCTATTACAGATGTTATCATTTCCGCATCCCTCTTTTAAGAACTGGACCTAGAGAAAAACCAGAAATGAGTGTAAGTTAATATCAATCAGGAAAATATAGACAGAAGGCTAAGTAAATCAATGACTTTTTCTATAATATCTACATTCTAGCATGACAACTGCCACCTTTGGAGAAACCCCAAGCATGCAAGCCCTTTGTGACATATCCAATTCCCACTTGGGTCTGAAAGGATGTGGTAAATAACATTTTAATAACTTTTTCCCAATCAATCACATAAGAATAAATCATGGCTAAAGTTGTCTTGTGGCATAGTGGATAGAGTGCCAGGTCTGGTGTCAGGAAGACTCATCTTCCTGAGTTCATATCTGACCTCACACACTTACTAGCTGTGTGACCCTGGGCAAGTCACTTAACCCCGTTTGCCTCAGTTTCCTTGCATATAAAATGAGCTGGAGAAGGAAATGGCAAACCACTCCAGTATCTTTGCCAAGAAAAACCCAAATGTGCTCAGACACGACTGAAAACAATTTAACAACAACAACAACCACAAAAATGTTTTCTTCCTCTTTGTCTCACCCCACTACACTGAGGCTTCTGCCAGAAGGCAAGAATGTGCTAAAAAAGAGCTTATAAAGATGACAAAAAACATCCATTTCAATAATAGTCCAAGGAGTTTATGAGCCAGTGTTATACACTATGGCATTTTACAAAATTTAGATTTAACCTGCCTCTGGTTTCAAAAAATCTTACACCTTTTACTATTCACTCTTACAGAGTGTCCTCCGACAATCCACCAAGACCAGCAGAGATCACAGGGGGGGCTATGTAGCATGAACGTAAGCTGACCTCCTGACAGCAAGAGAGGAGTGTAGTCATTAATAAGTGATTCCTCTCCTCTCTAAATCAGTACACTACCCATTTCTACCCCTCCCTCCCCACCCCCAGTACAGCATCTCTAACAATTCAGACGGTAACTTTCTCCAATTCTAAGATACTATAACTGAGTGTCTAATGCTGTCCATTTCATCTTGCTGACCACAGCTTAAAGTAATCACTTCCTTTTCCGAGTAAGACTTGCCCCTTGATTATAAAAACCAGACCAGCCAAGAGCAGTTTTATGACTTTTCAAAGGTAGAAAAGGTCTTCAGGATGAGAACACTGTGACAGGAGAAATGTATGATATACTGCATAGAAATACGAAACTCAGGCTGATTATCATATGAAAAAATTGCTATAGAAAAAATAATTTCAGCCTATAGACTACTCATAATCAGCTATATGCCTTCCTAATTTTTGGGGGGAGGAGGAAAAAAAAATCATCATTTCACTGATGTCAAACAAGAGTATATGCATGGAAATATATGTACGTGTATGCATGTGTGTGTATACATATATATGTATATGTGCATGTATATTCAAATACACTGATGTGTATATCAATATTTATACCTATATCTATATCTATGATCCCCGATAGTCTCTAGATTACTACAGATCAGAGTGAATAGTAAATGTGTCAGCTGCTAGAGTAAATGTATATATGTAACATGTACATATATTAACATACATATGCACATGGCTTGTGCCTGAGAGATCAATGAGATGGTGATTTTTCCAAACTACTAAAAAATGTAGGCACTTATTTATACTGTATAAAGAGATTATCTTTTTCTATCATTATTTCCTTAGATTATAATTGACTGAGTTTAACATGTAATATATACTGAACATGTAACACATGCATGTTACAATACAAGTTTACACAAAGGAGCATCCTCTCAATCTAATCCTGTGTTCTAATTATCCCCCTGCAAAGACATTTTACTAGATTGTTTAGCACTGTAGGGAAAAAAAATCTCTGACGTGATGGGGAGTCAGGCAAATTTACCTCTGAGGTTACTGTTTTGGGTTCATTTGAATTCAAAATTGGAAGAAGTTCTGGAAGTGAATTTGCTCGCCTCCGTGAACTTGGTTCTTGGATTTCCACTGAAGCTGTTATGGGAATGGGACGTAGTTTATCTCTGATGTTCTCCTGGAAAATATAACCACCTAATAAGGCTACTTACTACATGGAAATAGTAACATTCTGACACATTTCTGAAGAACAATTTATTTTGAATTTAAGAATACTACTTTCCTACTTTTAAAAATCTGTACACACCACTATAAAACCCCTCTTAAATTAAATAAGAATCATACTCATGCAGTGCCTTACCCCTCCCTCCTTCATCTCTTAATCCCTTACCTGCAGCCAAAGTGTTCTCTCCATGCACATTTTTTGTTTCTGTCCTTTCAGAGTCAAGGCATGGGAAGACTTAGGTTCAGAAGCTTGATTTGGAAAATGAACTCTTGATGATAAGCCGGATTTCCTCCTCTGACTTTCAGCTTCAAGTGTGCCCACAATTGCTAAGGAAAATTCAACAAGTAAACAGACACGATGAAGTATATACTTTTATTAACTCAAAGTATATTCCTCTGAGAGCATATTTTGAGTTCTTTTAAAATCCTTTTTTTTAAACTTTAGTAGAAAAATATTTTTCCATTTACCAAGAGAGAAAATCTGGTGGCTAACCTGTCACTCAATGAGGAAATGTGATTTCCCCACCCTTTTCCTATTTCCTATTAACAATTTATTTATACATTCAAAATCCAATGATTTACATAAATTAATTCCAACTCAAGCCACCTGAGGGTGCTCAAGAACAACCCAAAATTCCACAGCACTACATTTTCTGTTAGTTTATGGCTAACATGATTACAGCAAATCATAGAATTCTAGGGCTAAAGTGGGGGGGGGGGGGTCCAAAGTTCTCTTCAATAAGTAGAACTATCCCACTGTCTTCAGGCAGGTGAATATCTAAAGCTATCAAGTAGGTAGTTGTCTTAAAAAAAAAAAAGATTAAAAACAAGACAAAAGAAAACCACTACAGTGATGCTGGTTGCATCTCCTCACAAATTTTACAGTTACAAAGTAGTCTTTTGATGACGGAATTGACTTCTAAGAAGAACTGAAAGTCGGTTGTTGTGGGGTCCTTTTGTCAATGTAACGTTCATATAATGATGAAAAGCCGCTATCGCCAAGTTTCCTACCCACGGTAATTCTGAGTTAGATATTAATGTTACAAATCAATATTTGCTCATCTCTGTTTATGTAGCCTCTAAAATACAGAATCACAAAGCCAGAGCTAGAAAAGTCTTCAGAGTTCACCCAGTCCAACCCTGCTCATTTTTTTTAAGGCAATTAGGATTAAGTGACTTGCTCAGGGTCACACAGCTAGTAAATGTTAAGTGTTTGGTCTGAGGCTGCATTTGAACTCAGGTCCTCCTGACTTCAGGGCTGGTGCTCTATCTACTGTGCCACCTAGCTACCCCTAACCCCCCTCATTTTACAGCTGATAAAACTGCAGTCCAATTTGAAGACTGTGACTTGCCCAAGGTCATGTAGATAACAAGTATCAGGCATGGGCTTTGAACTCAGACTGCCTCCTTACATGATTCGGATGGTTGGAGTAGCATTTACATATGACTTTAGGATGTATTTCCCACCCACCATACCCCCAAAACAGCAGATTTGCTCTATTGTGTTTCTTTGACTACTATAAATTAGATTGGATTCACTCAATACATGTCAACTAACCAGAAAGAGGAACAGTTCAGAGGTAAGCTAGGTTTAATAATATTATTATTAATATTAGTTATTATTGCTATTGGCACTAATAATACGAATTCAATCACTTCAGTTTAAAGAATCTGAAATCCGAGAAAGTAAAGTAATTTGCCCAGGTTACACCATGAATCAGAGACAGAGAAGGAGGTTTTGAGGGGGGAGGAAGAGGAATGACCTTTCCGCCCAATTGTTCTCATAGGGTCATAAAATCACAGATTTTATGGAAGAGACATCAGAAGCTATTTTTCCTAACCCCCTAATTTTACAGATGAAAAACTGAGGACCAGAGAGGTTAAATAATTTGCCCAAATCAGAGAATGCCAAGCATCACAGGGGGTGGGATTTTAAACCTCAGTCCAATGACTCCAGTCAATGCTCTTTCTACCATATCACAGGTTAAAGACAGTCGTGATAACTAGTTCTATGTATTAAAACACACATATGAATATACACATACACACACACAAATTCCACAGCTATGTGGCTCTCTCCTTGTAACTGATACTATTTCTATACAGATAGGCAAGACCAAAATTTAGAGACACTGACATATTGTTTCAACAGTAGGCATCTGTGTCCATCTGAAGAATTCCTAAATGTCAGAGCTGCCAAATGGAATGCTCCCCATTTTAAGGCCCTCCACAATCTTGACATTATCCATTTATCAGTGACCTGCAAACATTAAAATGAACTAGATGAAGGCTTGTATGCTGAGTGCCCCTCAAAGCAAAAAGTCAAGAAGGGTTTGGGTGCATTAAAACCATTTATGTACCAAATTCTACTTTAACACTTACCAACCCTCCAGACAGTTCACATCATCATAAAATATTTTCCAACTGCATGTGAACTGACCTTTTGAGAGCAAGCCAAGTAGAAGATTCATTAAAACTAAATAATGAGCATCTGTATAAGTGGATTACTACATTTAAGGCCTGTGCAATAACAAGTAGCCACACACTAGTTCATTTTTTTTTTAAATATAGGAAGGGGCAATTAAATGTATTAATTTTTATAGCTTTGCAAACATTTTTCTAATTGACTTGCAATTTTTTTAATGCTATGGAATTGCCATGAATAGTAGGTAATCTCTGAATATCCCCTGAAAAAAGGTTAACACATGCACATATCTCCAAATACAATACACACAGATAAAAGTAAATATCCACATTGCAGGCATTTGATAAATATTTGATTGAGAGACTTATCACAAGTGCAAGGTTCTGTACATAATTCATAAAATATGGTGAAAACCTACCATACTTTATTCTTCCAAAGATTAAAAAATAGTTCATTTCCAGGGAGATCAGTGCTTTGAAGAATAGATCTCCTTTTTACACAAAATGTGATTTGAAAATTTCTCACTAGAATTTTAACAAAATTTAACAGGATTTCTCCTCACAGGATCATTAGTTTAGAACAAGGAGGGATCTTTGAGATTATCTGGTCCAACACCCCCTACAGATGATGAGGAAATGTCTCCCACCCAAGATCACACAGGTAGTCAATGACAGAGCTGGAATTCAAAACCTAATCCTTGGATTCCAAACCAAGTGTTCTTTCTGCCTCCTAATGCTAGCCATGGAATAGTTTCTTTGGTTTTTTTTTTGAGTGGAGTGGCTAATTTACCCCCAAAGAACAGCAGAGGATCTGTGATTTTTCAAATAAGGAAGTACAAAGTATTATTGCATTTAAGTAAAAAAAAAATCCCAACTACACTTGGGTACATTGCAGACTGTTCCTTGTATATGTGAGCTCAAGTTCTGGCTAGCAGGCTGAGAGAACACTGTGCAGTGTTAAGGAGAGTATTACAAATAAGATGAAAGTCACGTCGGTATATTCTCTTTGCACAAAGTCGCAGTGCACCTGCACCTGCAATACCAAATGCAAGATTCAAAGGATAATGAGAAAGGCTTAATGGAGCTGGAGATAATTCAGAGAAAGGCAGGTGACTTTCAAGGCGAATGGGAAAAGGCTCAAGGGAATGAACAAGAAGCCAAGCAAGGCTGACCAATATCTTCACATGTTGTCTTCCCCTATTAGCATGCAAACCTCTTGAGGGCAGGGACTGTTTCTTTTTTTGTCCTTGTTTCCCCACCACCCATCACTGTGCCCAGCACATAGTAGGTACTTCATAAGTACTTGTAGATTGACTCATTAATTCATCTGTATGGCTAGAGGGTAAGAGGGAACATATGATCAAAGTGTATGTAATCTGGGACTATTCACATTAAGCAAACACAAATTTCACAAAAATCTAGAATGTACCAAACAAAGGACATCCCTTGCAGTTTGAGAGGGGGTAAATTTGAGGGAAAAGGGCGGGTGGATGAAGGGTACTATTTTACACAATGGCCAGTAAATTCATCGAAATAATTATCCTCCCCACTCCCATCTCCAAAAGTAGTACAAGCTAAAAAATATAAGTGGATTTAGATAAATTAATGGAGGGGAGGTACACAATAGGACTTGGTCAGGAAAACTAGAATATCCTATAGGTAACCTATATCTATATCTATAACCTATATCTATATCTAACCTATATCTAACCATTTTGACAGTGATGTGTTAGAGAACAATCATGTCCCTAGTACCTCTATCAAGAGAAAAAGAACTAATCTTAAGTTGGACTCAGTACAAAAATCTTATAGTCTTATCATCTCACCTTGGAGGTTCAAATACCCATTTAATTTGGCTTTAAACTCCTACAAATTTGCCTCAACTATGGAACTAACCAATGAGGTCACTCGCTGGGAAGTCTCATAACAGATGCCCTATTACCACAAACATCTGTCTTTGCCTTTTGTGTTTCAAACAAAAAAGAGGTGTGCCACCTTATTAAATCATGCACCAAATTTGGTAACTTAATGTACCACAAAAAAGGAAAACTTCCATCCTATCATAAATTCTTGTAACATTTTATGGGCAAAAATTTACCATTAAGGCTGTTAAACATTTGTGGAAGAAATCAACTTAGGTTGTTCAAGGAGATAGGACATCTGCCCTTTTAATGGATGAGCAAGGAAAAGAATCAATACTGTTTGTGTCCTTCAGGCCACAAAAGAGTGTGGGGTGACAGAAGGTGCCAGATAAGTAACCCAGTGTTGTAAGGGGTAGAGCCAGAAGGAGGGTGGACTTGGTGAATCTACCATCCTCTAGCCAGCTCCATAGAACATTTTTTTAAACTAGTAACAAACCCAAAGCCAGCATTTCCACACGCTAATTTTAAGAAAAGTCTTCACTTGGCTGCCATGAAACTAGGAACAAGGTTACAGGAACAGTTATTCTCCAAAGTATCCTGGTATAAAATGATTTTCTTTGGAGAATCTACAGTGAAGGTTTTCTCTATTATTTGATTCTGGGATGTGCACTGTTATATTTTTAATATATTATTAAATATATTATCATATAGATATATTTATATATAAATACATTATATTTTTATATATAAATAAATATATTAAATATAAAATATATTTTTAAAGAAGGAAGAGGAACTAGGTATACTTATATTATAATAATAATAACCATAATATTTATACAGTGCTTTAAAAGTTTATAAAATGATATAATATATGTAAAGCACTTTATTGTCACAATAACCCTGGGAGGCGGGTGCTATTATTCCCATTTTATGTATGAAGAAATTGAGGCCTACAGAAGTTACTTGCCTAGGGTCACATAGCTAAAAGTGTCTGAGGCAGGATTTGAATTCAAGTCCTCCTGATGCCAAATCCTATGCTTTACCTTACTATGCCATTTTCCTGTCTCTAATAAAGAGCACTTTATTCCTGAGATTTTTTTTGTTTGCCACAGTTCTATTTTTTTTGGAATTTTTGAAGACCTTTCAACTTGGAAGAAATTTCTTTAAAAATCTTTAAAAATATATTCAAAGAATATATACATATATACAGTCTCAGGTACTTACATATTGCAGGATTGTAATTACTGGGCTTGGCAGTGTATTCAAAACAGGCCTTAACCTTCAGGCTGTATGAAATCAAGCAGACAATTCTTAAATTATGCCTTATCATGGTGGGATAAACCAATTAAAAACTTTAGTTTTCACATATCCCCAAATTACTTTTTTTTTTCCAAAAAAAGGATGACTCATTAAGACTGTTTAGAAAAAGAAGAATAGTTAGCACTTACATAACTTTGAAGTTTACAAAACACCTCATGAATATTAGCTCATTTTATCCTTACAATAGCCCTGAAGGTAGGTCATATTATTATACCTATTTTACAGCTGAGGAAACTGAGGGAAATAGAGGTTAAGTGATTTGCCCAGGGTCACAGAGCTAATAAGTGTCTGAGGCAGGATTTGAACTTAGGTCTTCCTGGCTCTAGGCCCAGGGCTCTCTATCCATGGTACCACCCAGCTGCCTCTAAAACTCTGAGAAGCCGAGACTATTACTATCTTCATTTTACAGTTGAGGAAAGTCAGGCAAAAAAGGATTAAGGCATTTTCCCAGGACCACACAGCTATTAAGTGTATGAGGCAAGATTTGAACTCAGGTCTATCCTGGCTCCAGGTCCAGGACTCTATCCAAGGATAACATAATGTTTCTTCTTTCCATGCCCCAGCACATATTGCTTGTGGAATTTTGAGAAATGTTGTCATTGCAGTATCCAAGTATTGCAAATAAAGGGAATCAAAATTCACAGGAATTTTGTACACACACACACACACACACACACACACACACACACACACACAAATCCAAGGTCAGTCTGACAGACAGACTGATCATTCCCAATGTAGGAAGAAGCAGACAGAGGCAAGTCCAAAGCACACAACTACAGATCTCACCATATTCCACTCGGTGCATCGCAGTTCATTTTCTGTCTTAGGTCAATTCTGTTCGGTGTTGCTGTGATTGTTTTCACAATATTGATCACAGGTCGAGATCTGGAAGGGCGGAAGAAATAAGAGAACCCATTTAGAATTCAGTTGGCCTCCCCCTCTGAACTTTCTCCTCAAACGGCCTTGCTGTGTGGAAGGTCAGGCAAACACCACAGAGCAGAGATGTTTGGAATCCCAGGACTTGGAACCTGAAGAGACCTTAAAGGTCATGGAACCCACTTCCTACATTTTACAGGTGAAGATACTGAGGCCCAGGCAGGCTAAGTGACTTATCCTGAATCACCCAAGTACTAAGTAGAAGAGCCAGATCTTGAACTCAGGTCTTCTGACTCCAAATCTAGTTTTCTTTTTATTGTACAAAAAAGTTAGTAAAGGATAGCCTGGGGCCAAAAAAACAAGTGTGATCTGGATGCGGCCCACAGGCTATGGTTTCCTGATTTCTTCCATGCTGCCTCTTTCTGTCCAATGGATCAATAATGTGTTGAAGTGTTAAAGGCAATTTAAGCTGAAAGTAACTGATAATAGGGAATTTTAGCTTCAAGGATTTAATTTCTTGAAAAAGAGCAAATCATTTTAACAGCTGTTCTTCCTGAGCTCTGATATCACACAGGGTGGATGCCCACTCTGTACTGATTAATCAATATTTTCCTGTTTTCCCCCTTTTTAAGACATAAACAGATGTCCATGTTTCTCTTTTTTTTCTGCTTAGCACAATTTTTTATTCCTCTGCCCTTTCTGTTCCTCCAGAGGAAGACTGGAATCCATGTCACGAGAAGGGACCTACAATTAGCACAGCAGGAAAGACAACACAGCTGAGCCATGGAGATGACGAGGGAACAGGTGCGTCACCGTGACAGCCGAGCACACCAGCCTGAAGATGATGTCCTGAGGTGTGGGTGGCTGTTTGCTCTCCCAGACTACAGAACTATTCTTTCTCTTCATCACTGCTGGTGTCTGCCACTCACCACCCCCGAGGCCACTTCTAATCACGGCCACTGCCATTACTTCCCTCCTCCCCTCCATTCTTCTCTTTTTTGTCCTCTCTCTCTCTTCTCCAGATGTGTTCCTTAGTTGCCAAGTGCTCAGGGAGGGGCTGCTTCTACTGGTGTGTGTGTGTGTGTGTGTGTGTGTGTGTGTGTGTGTGCGCGCACCCACTTCCAAGTCTAAAGCCATTCTGGAAGCTGAGAATTATGGGGAAGCTATTTTCTGTATAGCAAGGTTTTCCACTACATTTCTTTAAAAATATTCTTTAATTCAGAAAATGTATTTTTTTAAGTGTTCTTTCCCTCAATTAATCTAAAATGACTCAGGTTTTACTACAGACCTCTACTAAAGCACTACTCTGACACCTGAGCATGGTAAGGAGCTGACCTTGGGTTCTCACAGGCTAGGTAGGTAGAGTACACTCTGCCATGCTTCAGATAGAGGCTAGGTAACTGTCCAACAACAGGCATTGACAAAGTACCTCCTATATGCCAGGCACTATGTTAAGTTCTGAGGATACAAAGGGAGGTAAAAACACATTCTCTGCCCTCAAGGAGCTTCCATTCTAACGGAAGAGATTATGGACATATAAGATGTACACAGTGGAAATGCAAGGTACTCTCAGAGAGAAGACACTAGCACTTGAGGGAGAAGGGGAAGAAGAGGGGTATGGGACTAGGAAAGGTATTTCACAAAAAGCAGAACCAGAGCTCAGTCTTTTAGTAAGTTAGGGAAGCCCAAAGGCAGAGGCAAGGAGAGAAAGAGCATTCCAGGCATGGGGGAAAGCCAGTAAGAAGATGTTAAGAGTCAGGAGACAGAATGCTACGTGGGACAGCAAGGCCAGTGTCACTGGAATGCAGGGTATGTGTAAAGGAGGGAGAAAGCGGACAGAGCATAAAAAGCCTGAAAGGTAGCAGAGGGGCAGGTTAGGATGGGATGTCCAAGTCAATGTAAGACTTCATATTTGATCACATTAACTGATTCTTGTCTAACGATCAGCCTAGCCAGCGGTGGGGGCCCTGTGGCACTTGCTAAATCCCCTTAAAAAAGATTGGTTCTGTAAAACTTGGACTCAGTCAAAAGGCTGCACCCGAGGCCCTTAGAAGGCCACATGAGGCCTCGAGGCTGCAGGTTCCCCAGGGAATTTGTTCTGTGAAGTTTGGATTCAGTCAAAGGGCCTCACTTGAGGACCTAGAGGGCCAATTGTGGCCTCGAGGCTACAGGTTCCCCACCCCTGTAGGCTCATTTACTAGGCTTGGTCACAGCAGTTCTCTATGAGGGGTTCTTAACCTGGGGATCTATGGACAGATTTTGGGAAGTTCATGAACTTGAATGGGGAAAAAAAGGTGTCTTTATTTTTGTTGTTTTGTTGCTGTTGTTCAGTCGTTTTTCAGTTGTGTCCAACTTTTCATGACACTATTCGGGTTTTTCTTGGCAAAAATACTGAGTGGTTTGCCATTTCCTTCTCCATCTCATTTTATAGAGGAGGAAACTGAGGCGAACAGGGTTAAGTGACGTGCCAGGAACACATAGCTAGCTAAGTGTCTGAGGCCAGATTTGATCTCAGAAGATGAGCCTTCCTGACTTCAGGTCTAGTACTCTATCAACTGCACCTCCAACTGACATTTGGTATTTTCTTCAATTATTGAATTCTGAGAAGGGGTCAATTGGCTTCGCCAGACTACCAAAGGGGTCTATGACATGCAAAAAAAGCTTATGAACTTATGGTTCTACTAATTTACAAATGGACTGTGAGCTCATCCATGGAGTGTTTCCATGCTAATGAAATAGCTTACTTAAGTACTGCAATAGTTATTGTATTAGAAAATTGTTTTTTGGTTTTTCTTTAAAACCTAAATATCTCTCAAAGCCAAAAATATCTTCAAAATTCATTAAAAAAAAAAACAATATTTGCATTTGCAGCACAGACACCAAGTTTTTGAAATTTCAATCTAAATTACCATTTTAAATGTCATTAAAAATGTCAATCTGTATGATTAATTAAAGACACATATGTACCTGAAAATCGACACCGCATCTGAGAGTGAACCAACGGCAACATCAGGATAGGAATTTTTATCAAGGTCCATATTTCCAGCAATTGAGTAGCCAAAGTATCGAGATTTACCCTCAAGAACCTAAAATGAGAAGGTAAACAGAATATTAGATTATTCAAATGAACTTTTTAGCCATGCTTTGAAAAAGAAATACAAAATTTCTTTTGGTACATGTTCCTTTAAAGTTCATCTACAAGCATCCCCAATTTATACTCCCAAAGTTCAAGTATTTTAGTTCATCCAAGGCTTCCAATTTATGTTGCGTCTACACAGGAGAAGTGTGTAATTATCTGATTAGCTTGTTCCATGTACAAAGCTAATCTGGATAATTCAATTTTTTTAAAAAGCTCTCATTTTCCTTAATAGCAGTTTTGAGGGCTTGAATCATCCAGGTAATTGCAATAATTCTCCACTTCATTCCACCTTGGTGGATACAAGCCGAAATCTGCATTTAGCATGGCTGTAGAAGGAAATTCAGGTTCAGAGGGTTATTTTATAAAATACAGAAAGACTGTATAGTCAAAACTATTCCTCATTTGGGATTATTTTGATCTCCAGATGTTTATTTATAATATTTTAAAATTAAAATAAATAGGTCATGGAATTTGTCTCCAGAAGCAAATTTCCCAGATGTTTCCCAATGCTAAAGATTAAAAAAAAAATTCAATTTGGACCTAAGAATTTTATATTGTGGCACAAAACCAAATTTGAAATAAATGGTCAATGATATTGAATCACCTGTGTGGGCTTGGTATTAATTCCACTTGGAGAACCATGATAGATAAAAACCTTCCCCAAATCATCGTAAGGTGCTCCAACTGCAATATCTGTTGAAGACATAACAGTTTGACAGGTATTTACATTTCCAAAAGTCACAAACAAGCATTTTTATAAGATTTTAGACATACTAATTACTGGAAGTCATTTTAACATTTAGACCATCAACATTTTGTCATCCATTGTCTCACCTGGGTATCCATCTTGATTAACATCACCGATGTTTTCCACTGCAATGCCAAACATAGAATCTTTGGTTCCATTAAGGCGAATTGGCTTGACATTATTCCATTTGCCTTGCTGATTAATGTAGACATACACAGCACCCCCAACTTCTCCATCTCTATCAAAATACTGTGGTGCTCCAATAACAATATCTTGCCAGCTTTAAATACAATAAAGGGAAGAATTGTATACAATTAGGTCAAAATGCTTGAGTTTAGGGGTATAAGGCTCCTACCCATATTGCTGAAATCTATAGTTGGTTTGTCATCATCAGCACACAGGTGAGTTCAAAATCACTCTAGTCACCAAATTAAATACAGAAGACTATATCTGGAAGAAATGGTGTGTCAAAGAAGTACTTTTGGTTCAGGGGAAGCAGGAAATCATCCTGTTTTGGTGCATACCTAAGAATCTGGTCCATTCTTGAGATATCTGAAAAGGTATATACTGAATAGGACAGGAAATTTTGGTCCTAGGTTAACACTCACACTGAGTCCCTTCATGGTATCGCAATCCATACGGGAGAGGATTTAGGAGTCTTGGTTTGATCAAAATCCCCTAAGAATTACACCCCAACTCCTAAGAAGGATGTAAATGCTAACCAGACTACATATTTTCCTTTCGAAGTGTTTAATATCCCTAGTTCTTATCATTTACTTTTTCTTTTACTTAGGTACCAGGAATATGTGGATAGGGAGAGGATGGAAAGGCTAGGAGAAGGTGGTGATAGTGGAAATTCCAATGCCATAAGTTTTTCCTATAATAGAGAATTGATGTGATGATGTGATAGGTGTGTATCTCCATTTTGCTTTCCTAGGTTTTTCACTGGACTGAGGCCTAGATATAACCTACCATCTTGGGAGACTCTGAGTGAATCAATCAATCAACAAGTGCCTGCTATATGCCAGAATACAATGAACGAAACAACTCCTGCTTACAAGAAGCTTCCATTCTTGGGGCAGCTAGGTGGTGCAGTGGATTCAAATCTGGTCTCAGACCAAACACTTGACACTTACTAGCTGTGTGACCCTGGGCAAGTCACTTAACCCCAAATGCCTAAAAATAAAAATAAAATTAAAAAAAAGAAGCTTCCATTCTAAAAAGCAAGACAAAGACATGTCTAAAGTATATACATGATAAATATAAATTGTTGTTTAGCTGTTTCAATCGTGTCCAATTCTTTGTGACCCCCATTTGGGGTTTTCTTTGCAAAGACATTGGAGTGGTTTGCCCTTTCCTTCTCCAGATCATTTTACAGATGAGGAAACTGAGGCAAAAAGGTTGAAGTGACTTGCCCAAGGTCACATAGTTAGTAAGTGTCTGAGGAAGATGATGAGTCCTCCTGACTCCAGATCCAGCACTTTATCCACTGCACCACCTGGCTGCCCCATAAACACAAACAAAAATTGTTAGATACAAGGTAATTTGGGAGGGAAGGCACTAGCATTAGACACTAGGGTGACTGAGGGGAAAGATCCAAAAAGGCTTTATGTAGAAGGTAGTACTTGGGCTATGTACTGAAAGAAGGCTTCTATGAGGTGAAGATGAGGAAACGCATTATTATGAGGAAAGGCCTGAATATGGGAAACTGATGGAGAACTCCATCAGAGGAAAGTCAGGGGAGAGGATGGGGCTGGATAGAAATGTATCTGAGAGTCATCTGCATAAGAGCGCATGAGGTTTCCAAGAGAGGCAGTATAGAGGGAGAAGAGAAGAAGGACAGGGAACAGAACCCTGGAGATGTGAGATGGAGAATAACGTGTAAGGAAGAGAAGAGCCAATGCTAAACTATAGAGCCCAAGAAGGAAAGGAATATTCAATGAGGTTGGAAAGATTGGTTACAGCTAAAATCAAGGGCTTTATGAACCAAACAGAAGAGTTTTTATTTTATCCCTGAGGCAAGAGGCAGCGGCTGGGGTTAAGTGAATAGAAAAATGACATGGTTAGACTGTGTTAAAGGAAAATCACTTTGACAGCTATATATAAGACTGACTGGAGTTGTGAAAGGCTTGAGCTAGAGAGATCATTCAAGAGGTTGTTGTACTAACCCAGGTGAGAGATGATGAGGGCCCAGATGTATATGTATATGTATATATGTATATATACACATATCGGTGAGTTATCTGCATATAAATGATAGTTATATCCACGGGAAGTGATGAGGTTACCAAGAGAAGCTGTATAGAGGAAGAAGGTAAAAAAATAGAACCTTGGAGTATATCCACAATTCAGGAACCTGATACAGATGATGAGCCAGAAAAATTGTGGTATGGACACCCAGAGTGGGCACAGTATACAGAAGGAAAGTGTGGTCAATAGGGTGAAATGCAGCAGAGTTTGAGAAGGATGAGGTCTGAATAGACAATAGGAGTTGGCAATTAAAAGAGCATTGGCAACTTTGGAGAAAAACATTTCGGTTGCAAGATAAGGTTAGAAGCCAGACTGCAAAGCTTTGCAAAGTGAGTGCCAGGTGTTCAGCAAATGCTTAATCAATGTCTTTTGATTTGAATTTTTTTAAAATTGTATTTTAGCACTGTGACAGACTTAGAGGATTCAGAGAGATATATGACACATTCCTTGTCCTCCAGGGATCAAACATCCAGTTGATGAGATAGTCAATATTCATAGAAAGATAAATATAATAACAAACCTTTTTTCTTTTTCTTTTTGTAAACAATATTTTATTTTTTCCAATTACATGTAAAGATAGTTTTCAACATTCATGTTTTGTAAGATTTTGAGTTCCAAATTTTTCTCCCTCTCTTCTCCCCTCCCCAAGACAGCAAGCAATCTGACACAGGTTATACATATGAATCATGTAAACATATTTCCACATTAGTCATGTTGTGAAAAAAGAAACAGAACAAAAGGGAAAAGCCACAAAAAACCCCCCAAAAAAAGGTGAAAATAGTACGCTTCGTTCTGCATTCAGACTTCACGGTTCTTTCTCTGGATGTGGACAGCATGAGTCTTTTGGAATTGTCATGGATCATAACAAACCTTTTCATATAATTACAATGTACATGGCACTGTACTAGGCACTCAGAATATACAAAAATCACACAGTCTCTACCCTTAAGGAACTAAGATGCCCTGAAACTGAATTCATTATCTTTCTCCCAAAGCCTCTATTTCTGTCAAAGGCAACACCATCCTTCTAGCCGTCTAGGTTAGTAACCCCAGCATTATCCTCAACACCTCACTCGCCGTCATCCCACATATCCAATAAACTGCCAACTCTTGCCATTTCTAGCTTTATAACACCTCATGTATCTGATTCCTTCTCTCCACTCACATAGCTACCACTTCAGTTCAGGACCTCATCGCTTCTCACCTGAATTATTGTACTAGCCTCCTAACTGGTTTGCCGGCTTTAAGTTTCCCACAACTCCAATCCACTCTTTACTGCTAAAGTACAGTTATCCTTTGCACATCTCGACTTTCCCCATTGTGGTTTTGATATGTCACAGGCTGGCATAAAAAATTAAATGGGAATTTTTTGGGAGTTTTATGAAAGCAGCAGATGATATGTGAAGGCCAGCAGTACAGAAAAAATTTAGAAACTCAAAAATGCATGAAATATACGTATAGTATTGTATAATATCAACACTCCATAAAAGAAAAAGAGAAACAAAAAAATTCAGATTTCTCTGGTACGAAGGGAGGGCCAAAAATGTTTACATGAATTTTCCACATCGCAGGGCCACACCGTTTCCCTAATCTCCAAGATGCGGAAGAGATAACTGTTAATTACGGACCATGACACTCTCCCACTCACCATCCACACACTTCCTTCCTACTGCCTCTAGGATAAAATAGAAACATGTTCACAACTTGGCCCAACATATTTCCAACCTCAGTAAACATTCTGCTCCTTCCTGACCTCTGAAATCCAGCCAGATTAGTCCTCTCTCTCTCTCTCCCTCACACATGACTCTCCATCTCCCTGGCTGTCTTCCACGCTTGGAACACACTCCTTCAGCTCCACCATATAGAAGGGGCCCCCTTTTCTTTCAAGGCCCAGCTCAAGCACTACAGACTTTCCTGATCCCTCCCTGCCCTGTCCCCCTCCCCAACTGCTAGGTGGCCTCCCTCCCAAACTACCTTTTATTTAAATACTTTGTGTTTATTCTCCTTATATTTATCCTGCATGTGCTCACATATGTATACATGTTCTTATGTACCCCATGCTGTAAGTGAGCACTGTTTCATTCTCTGTAATAATTGTATCCCCAATGCTTAGCACTGTGCCAGGAACACATTAGGCACTCAACAAATACTTGTTGATTTTTAATGATGGATTACATTCTATGGAGGGGATGAGACACATGTACAGATAGGTAAATGTGAAGTCATTTAAGACGGGTGAGAGCATTCCAAACTGCTTGGGATTGGTTTTCTGTAGGAGGTAGCATCTAAATCAAGTCTTGAAGAGAGAGAAGATTCAAGGATTCTGAGTGGAAGAAGGGCATTCCAAGTGTGGAGGGCACACTGGGCTGAAGCCCAGAGACGACAAGAGATGGAATAAAAAGTTCATAAAACAAATCCATCCTCCACTCAGCTGCCTAAGTGATTTTCTTAAACTATAGGTCTGATCACCTCACCCCCTTCCCAATTTAATAGACTCCAATTGCTCCCCATTACTACCAGAATCAAATATCAAATCCTCTCTTCGGTATTTAAAGCTTTTTCACATTGTTACCCGTTTCTACCTTTTAAGCCTTCTTATACTTTGCCCTTAAAGCATTCTCTATCTTTTATGTACATAGTTATTAACATGTTGTCTTCCCAGTTAGAATGGGAACTGATTGAGGCTAGGGACCTTTTTAATTTTTGTTGTAATTTTGTTGTTATGCCGGATATAGAGTAGTAAGACCTGAGTTCAGATCTGGCTCCAGACATTTACTAGCTGTATGACCCTAGGCAAGTCACTTAATTGTGTTTGCCTTGGTTTCCTCATCTATAAAATGAGCTGGGGAAGGAAATGGCAAACTACTCCAGTATCTTTGCCAAGAAAACTCCAAATGGGAGTCGTGAAGAGTTGAACATGACTGAAACAACTCAACAACAACAACAAAATGCTTGTTGATGTCTAAGGTGGAAGAGTAATATGAAATAAAGTTAGAAAAGAAGGTTCAGCACCATGTTATGCCAGGCTGAGGAATTTTTATCGAATCCAAGAGTTATTTAAAGCTTTTATACATGGGAGTATCATGGTTAGGCTCGTGTTTTAAGAAGTTTATTTTTGCAGTTGTGTGAAGAGTGACTTAAGAGGAGAGAGATCAAGGATACCAATTAGGAAGTTATTATAATAGTACGGGCATAATGTGAGAGAGGCTTGAACAAGGGTGGTAGTCTTGTTAAATAGAGAGAAGGGGATGGATGTGGAATATGTGATAAGACTGACAGAACTTGGCAAATGATTGAATACGTGGGGTAAAGAAGAATCAAGGATGAACCTGGATGCCCGATAGGATGGTGGTAATTTCAACAAAAAAAGGAGAGTCTAAAAGGGGGATGGACGGATTTTTAGATATAAGGGTAGATAATGAGTTCTATTTTGGACATGTGAAATTTGAGATGCCAACAGTACACATAGCAGCATAAGATAAATAGTAATCCTAGTTGCCATACACTAAGGAATACAGATCACTACTGAGGCTGGCTTAAGCCAAAAGCAAGTTCAAGATAGTTGTACACTGGAATGGAGTTCTCATTATGGATGAAGGTCTACATTTAAGGTGGCCTGAGTGCTGAAAGCCTGAACACTAGCCTTCCTTTCTCCATTCCAAACCTTCCTTTCTCCAGAATATTCTGGGATATTCCAGCCACTTCTAACAAACAACCAACCCAGTGTCAGAATATCTGCAAAGGCTGACATGTTGAGTTGCTTTGTTGTTTTTTAATTTACTTTTTTTTAATCAAGGAGCACAGGGGTCTAATATCTCAAGGTCATTAGAAAATTAGGCAGGCCTAAAACATGAGGTCAGTCAGTATTTAATATAAAAACCGTATTGTAAAACACAGACAAATGTGATGATGCTCACATGATAACTGTGATATAAAATTAGGAATAAAACAGTCCTATTGAGAAATCCTCACCCATCTTTGTTGAGGTCCACTACTGCTACATCATAGCCAAATGAAGAGGCCAGTCCTTCTCCTTCAAACAGATGCTCAGTAAAAAGATGTGCAGATTTCATGTCTCTCTTTAGGAGAACCACAGCTCCACTATGGTTGGCTCTTGGCGCACCAGACACAAAAGTGATCTCATCTTTAGAGACAATACTTTTTCCTGAGTCCAGTGAAAAACCTAGGAAAGCAAGACAGAGACACACAACATCACAACAACTTTCTATTACAGGAAAGGCTTATGTCACTGGTGTTTCCACTATCACCACCTCCTCCCTGCCCCACCCCAAACCCCACCCACTTTGTCTGGTAAATGGACTATGGAGCCAACAGGTTTGGAATCCTAGTAAAAGAAAAAAATAAATGATAAGAACTATCAGTGCTTTCTAGGCATATTAAAGACTTCAAAAAGAAAATATCTACTCTGGTTTCCATTTACATAGCATGAAGCATTTACACAGTTTATAAATGTAACTAAGTTCATTTTAATGATGATAATTGGTATAAGTGCAACACTTGGGTTGATATGCTATAATGAGAGCCAAACATAATAGCGGACATCTTGTTGTACACACACAGAGGGCATGATTTGACTTTCAGCAGAGCTGAATCCATGCAGTAAGTTGGGTTTTACCATTCCACATTGTATAATGCAACGATTAAGTTTTGATACGTTGATAAATCTTCTATAGTCAATCTATTCTGTAATTAATCAAAAGAGAAATCTTTAATATACAATAGACAGCACATAGATGTTTCAAAGAGATTTGGTTCGTGGTCATGGACATGCAAAAAAAAGGCATGATGTAATGCTGATGAGGTTATGTAATATTTGAGAAGTTGCAAGATGGAAAATGCTATCCACTTCCAGAGAAAGAACTATGGAGTCTGAATGCAGATGGAAGCATACTGTTTTCACTTTCCTTTTCCTTTTTTGTGGCTTTTCCTCTTTGTTTTGATTTTTCTTTCAAAACATGACTAAGGTGGAAATATATTTAACATGATTGCACATACATAACCTATATCAGATTGCTTGCTGTCTATGGAAGGGGAGAAGAGGGAGAAAAATTTGAAACTCAAAATATTATAAAAATGAATGTTGAAAAATTATCTTTACACGTAATTGGAAAAAATAAAGTACTATCTAAAAAAATAAAATATAATATTAAAAAATTTTGAGAAATTGGTATCAACCACAGAGTTGTAATTGAATAAGTTGTAATTTCTCATTGAAATTTTCAGAAGACACACCTAACAGGGATTGCACCTAATTATTTCAGATTGTTTACTAGAACCTATTAGTAGAATACAAGTACTAAAACATATATGTATATACGTACACACATTTGTATATGTATATGTCTACACAGATGTGTGTGTATATATACATATACATATATATGTGCATGTGTGTGTGTGTGTGTGTGTAGGGAAGAGGGTTATTGAGTAGGGTGTGTAACCTGGTCAGATCTGAGGCATAAACGCCAATACTGAACCATTCAAATTGAGAAATGAATCCTACACAAAAACACAGCAAATGCAGAAAAATATCAGCTTAGCCTCTTTATTTTCTTTAATTTGTGGAAACTTTCACTACTACTGTTAATTCTCAAATTAGGAACTGACTTTAAAATACGACATATAAGAAAGTTACAGGAAGTTTTGACTGGAATGTTCCACTACCAATCCATCTCTGAAAGTCATTCAAAGGCTGAATCCCTGCTATCAAATGCTTTTTATTGTAGTTTTATTTGAAATGGAGTGAAATTTCAAAAAAAAAATGCTGACATGTAAATCGAGGTGGATTTATTTTAAAAAAAAATGGCAAAGACAATTTACTTGTCATCATCTCCAGGGTCACAAACCTAGGTAGCTATTCATCATCACATCAGGAGATTTGTCGACCCTTACACTGGGGGGCTGTGTTTTGTAAACCAACTGATCAGGATCTGTGTAGGAAACACTGGTCAAAAACAGTAGGCCTGTGTACACACGGGGAAAAAAATCGAAGAAAAGGCAATTATGCTTGGTAAACAAGGTGATAACTGTTGTGTCTCTCTTCAGATAACCAAAGATGTGACAGCAGCCAATGGACTCCAAGTTGTGGGGTCACCTCCTCAGATCTGAGATACCTATCCCTTTATTCACAAGAAATAATAAACAAGAAAGTACTTCAATCAAGCAATAAAACTATAGACAGCTGAAAAAACATAACCAACACTGATGGGTTTGTTTTCCTGTTCTACTGTTACAGCCCTGACACACAAGTAAGAGAAAAAAAGTGATAAGAGCTATCACTATCCCCTAATTTCTAGGGATATTAAAGACTTCAAAAGAAAAATATCTAGTCTGCTTAGCATTTACAGAGCTTGAATCATAAAGCATTTATTCAGCTTATAACTATAGGCTCATTGTCATGATGACATTGGAATGAGTGTAACACTAGGGTTATATAAGCTATGCTATAATGAGAGCCATACATAATATATACATCCTTTTGAATGTACAAGATGGCATGATTTGACTTTATGTAGATTGAGTTTTTCTATTCCATGCAATGATTATTCATTCAAAAGGAGGCAAAGGCAGTGATAAAAAAGTGCAAATATTCAGAAATGATGGCAAACCTGCAGTCAAAACATTTAGGGGAACATAAGCTCCTTGAGGGCAGAGGCTGTTTTTACTTTTGCTTTGTATCCCCATTATTTAGCATAGTGCCTACTTCTGAAGCATTTTCACTTGATCTTCATCTTCATCAGTTCTTTCTTGGACCAGCTTCCATCTGATTTGTCTTCTGTCTTTCTTTGTTCTTTAACTCAGCCTTTTAGTTGTGAATAAACAGTGCCTTCAGGATACAGGCTTTATTTTTCCCTTCCATTTTGTAATTCCTTATTGGATGTGCCAAAAGTCTATAAAGTTAAAGCTAAAAATTTTTATAGAAGGTAGTTTTCTAAAATTTCAGGCTATAATTAATTTTCTCCTTCAAGCTTCCTTATTTGCAGTAGGATCACAGGACTGAATTGGTAGGATCTCAGGTATCATCTGGTCCGACCTCTTTATTTTACAGGTTAAGAAAGCTGAAGGTGGTAACAGGTGTTGCCCAAGGTCACACCAACAACAAGTAGCAAAGCCAAGATTCATTCTCAGATCTTCTCATGCCAAACCCAGTGTTATTTCTATTACACCAAGGAAGACTCTTTGTCAGTTCTATCCAAGTACTTTCTCCTCTTGAGATAAATTCCTCAGCTTAGTTTTGAATGGTTGATTCTTATGTTTTTGCCATGAAAACCACAGTAATTGTTCTTCACGTCAACTTATGGCAAGAATTAGAGGTTTTTAAATCCTATTTATAATTACCGTAGTGCACTTGAATAAATTATAATAGCCATTAGTAATACCAAGAAACCTTAGGCATTAAGGGATTGACACTTAGTCACCATTTTTTAAGTCCCCATCAGAGCTCCCGCAGTTAAATTCAAGCTAGAAACTAAATGTCACAAGCCAGGACCCAGCTGGCCCGAGTTTACAGACCTTCCTGTCATACTTACCTTTCAGAGAATGTTTCCAAATCACAAAAGTAAGAAAGATAAGGACTTTACCACTCCATTTAGTAGTCCCAAACATAAAGAAACTCTTAAAAAGACTTTCATAAAGAAGTTTGGTAAAGAGGGTTAGCACTTCACATGAAATTTCATATCTGTTTATCTTTTTTTTTTTCTTCATTTCAGTATAGCCCACAGTTAAATGCCACCAGTGAGTATGATGCCCTCCTTCTATGTACAAAGCAGAGGGCCACATTCCATACCAAGGAATTTCAGGGAGGGCACCAGTTTGGGTAAAGATTGGCATTATTATTCTCTTTAAGTAATCTCGTCAGGTAGAATTCCATTGCCAAGCCAAAACAGGTGTAGACAGTTACCTTTCACTCTGGCTTTTATTAGGTAGAATCTAACGAACCCTGGAGTTCTGTGTTTCCAAGATTTGAGGAATGGAGCTTCAGAGAGAGGGCCACATGTCATGTAACAACAAACTGGTCTGGAAATGTTTGCCATCTACACTTATTCCTACCTAAATAACTGTTAGCTGGAACAGGAACTAGACTCTCATCGTGGTCAGTCTCACCACCAACTTCATATGGCCCATCTTCAAAGATATTCATGTCAAAAAAAGTGTTATTCTTTTGCTCTGCGCGAACAATTCCTGAAGGAATGAAATGGCAAAAACAAAAAAGGGAATGAAGATAAAACCGAAAGAAAATAAATGGTTCCTAACACATTTTCCATGTGATTGCTGAAGAGAAGGGAGCAGAGTTGAAAGGAGAATGAGAGAAAAATGATGAAGTGGATCATAATAACTAGGGTGAAAAGAATATTACTGTCATCCATGTAAATTCTAAAGAGTCAGGAAAATTGAGACTGCGATAATTTAAAAAAAACCAGATGCCTTGAATCTTAATGAAATCTATATGATGTCATGAAACAAGATGAAAACATGATGTTCGCTGTAAAAACTGTAGAATATATGTATGCATATGAGAAATTGACCAAAACTTCCTCTCTAAACAAACCAAAACCAATTTAGCTTCTTTACTGTGATATGAAAAGTCAAAATTTGCTTTTAACCCCTTGGGAGAAAGATATGACCAGGTTATGACTTTTAAAAACTATATACATTTAATTTTTAAAATTTCATATCACACACTCATATACTCTGCTGCTCCAAAAAAGTCCCTGAAATAAAACCAAACTCCAGGCCCATCCTATCTCTGCTCTTATGTCAAGGCTTATAATAGTAAGAGCTGACAGTTACACAGTGCTTTATGGTCTAGGATTGCTTTCCATAAGTTATCTTTATGCTGCCCCTGTGAGGTAGGAAGGACAGATATTATTATGATCATTTTACAGCTGAGGAAAATGAGGTCAAAGAAATTGAGGGACTTGCTCAAGGTTACTGGGCAAGAATGTGGCAGAGCTGGGGCACCAACCCAAGGCTGCTGCTTCTAAAACACCCCTGCTGTGAATCCATACTTTCCACAAAAAGCGAAAGAACTATCCTCTTGCAGTTATTAGCAAATCCTCCATGTTCAAGAGAAATTATTTAAAATCTCTAAATACCATTTAAATATAGTCAGAGCCATGTGGCAAGCACAGGAGGCACGTTATTATACCTTTTGTCAAGGAGTCACGTTGGCAGATTAAGTAAAAATGTAATTATGAAATTTATCAGAGGACAGTATTCATAAGAATCATTTTTAACAAGAATCAGGACCCAAAAGAAAGAAGGAAACTTTAAAAGCTATTTTTTCCTAGAGAAAATAAATAAAATTCTTAATTGTTATTATTTTTAATCAGGGAATCTTCTTGAGGTGAGTTAGAAGAAAGCCAGCCATTCATTTGTTTTCTACTCTTTCAATGTCTGATAAAATTATTTTTATTATACTAGTAAAAGCTTTTAATATTACACTTAATTAATAACTGTGGACCAATTATCTACCTGACTGGCTCCCTGTCTCCCCAAACTATGGCTGTTCCTTGAAGTGATCATCTGAGCATCTCCTAATTCAACTGATATCGACTGAACTGACACTTTACCTTATTGCAGGCATATGACATCCTAGGAAAAAATGCAACCAAAGAAACATCCACTACTACTGAGCTTTATGCATTCACCTGTCACTCCTTAACTTTTCTTGATGCTTCTAGATGATGATTTGTGGAAAAAAACATTCACCTCCTGTTAAGAGTTACAGATATCAAACTTGATAGTACTAACCATTATAGTCACACTGAAAAGAAAATTATTATTTCCATGTATCATACATCTGCCTACATGATAGATATATATTAAAAACAGCAAATTTAAAAAGAAATAAGGATGAACTAAAAAAATTAGACTTTGAAGAGGAATATAAATGTGGTATTATAAATCTTTTCCTATAAATCATATAATTTAGAGGTAGGAAAAAATTAGGATATTTTATTTCAATATACCATTGCTTCTTTTATGCTACATTCTTCAGGGAGGGGTCTTGCTTATTCTTTTTAGTCTAGTTTAGACATTCTGAAGGATCAACTTTTTAAAATAGTGAAGTAATATTTTTACTCCTTGATTTCATCTGCCCCTTGCATCTGCATAAATAAAACTGCTCCCTTCTCTCATCTTCTCCTTTCCTATAGCTATAGATTGCTAAAATCTGTCCTTCTTTATTGGATATTTAAAACAATTAGAGATTTTTTATATTGCTTTCTTCAAAAATCAAGATCCTACAGATCATTCTTAGTACTACTTTTTAAAAATTTCTCCACTTGTTATCTAGCAATAAAGCACTCTTTTAAATAAACTTAATCCTCACTGTAGGGATCAAGGTAGCAGTTAAAATACTTTGACTTCTCAAAATTAGTTTTATAGATAATGACCTATATTGACAGCTTCAAGATATGGTGTTTCGTGCAAAAACCCTCACTAAACATACTTACACACATATACAGACACACACACACATATATATATTTACATACACATATAATCATATATGTTTTCCTACATTTTCCCTAACTACCTTTTCTACTTACTATGTTTAATCATTTATTTTCAATTCAATACAATATTTTCAATTCAAACCAATACTGGTTAAAAGAAACTTCTTTTTATAGATAATTGTATATTTCGTGAAAAGGATACACAGGTTCCCATCACCCGCAGTTTCTCCCATGGCTCTCAGGAGAATAATAATGCCTGTCTGTAAGAAGACAAGTTCTCTTACCTTTCCAATTATAAGTGCCCGGGGCTCCAAAAACAATGTAATGGAAATCTTTAGTAAAAGTTGCAGATACACCTTGCTGACAGGAACCAAATTTCTCATGGCCTCTCAAACGGCCATCACAAAAACTCCAATCTCCTCCATCCATGTCGTCTTCAATGGTAAGAGACTGACTCAACACATAGCACCTCCCAATTATGTCCCGTGACTCCTGCTTGGTGTTAACATGTTGCCTTCTCTCATACCGATGGGCACACGTCTGTGAGGTAGGTGTAGGAGATAAAAGTACAATTTAGTCTGTAAAAACAGTTCATAATGCTAAGCTTTGGAGAGGGTCAACTGCACAGGGACCACAAACGATCAGAACAAGAGCTAATTCTAAGACACAATAATTCATTCATCATTTTAGGACCTGACCAAAAGGCATCCCCTAGTTGCTCGGTGAGATGACAACTAACTAACTTCTAACACTTAAGCACTTCTAGTTCTCACCCAAGAGAAAGTTCCAAGTGCAACTGTTAGACCTAATTCCCAAAATGCAACGAAGAAATGGCAAATACCTCAATTTATTAAAAAAATTTACAAAAACTAAGAAAATGCCTTATTTCCTTCTCTTTCTTGGTGAGGCAATTGGAGTTAAGTAACTTGCCCAGGGTCACACAGCTAGTATATTTCCTTCATTTTTAATCAACTCAATACTAAGAAATTTGTAACTAGAAATAACTATGTTCTGGAAGAAAGAAAACATTGCTACATTTGCACATATACCCAATGAACTGATGCTTGAAATAGACTTACATACGTTTGTACACATATATTTATGTATATTCACTTACATGTGTAAATGTACACATTAGTATACACAAATATGCATGTATATGTGTATGAATTTATTACCGAGACAATGTTGCATAAATACAAACCACTGGTATATGGTACTCCCGTGGAGGGGAATCCCTCTACCCAGGAGATGGGCAACTCTTCTGCAACTTACAAAGATGCCTGGGGCCCTCAGCGGTTAAGTGATTTGCCTAGAATCACACAGTAAGAATGTCAAAGGAAGGCCTTGAACCTTGGTCTTTCTGATGCTGAGGCCTGCTTCCTACTCGCTATATAACACTGCCTGTCATTTACTGTATGTGTGTGCTACTCTAAAAAGAGGGAAAGAATATATAGTCTAAAAAGGTAATACTCTCTATTTTCCAATATTTTATTATAGAATCCATAGCAACCTCCAGGGTTCCATGAGACATGTGTTGAAAACCAATGAAAACACTCATAAATTTCAATAACGAAATCCTTCTCCGTCCCTTCCTCCTCACCCCCTCAAAAAAAACTACCACAAAAATAACAGAATCCTTTGTTTCTTAAAATGCCTATTCCTCTTTGCAAAGAATGCAAATTCATATAAATATACAACAGTGACCCAATCTATGGAGGATTCATACTAACTTTTTGTAAATTTTATATTTCTTGTAACATAAATTTTTTTTTTAGTCCAGTCCCATGATTTCATCAGAGAAGGTTACTTCAGGTGAGAAGTCTTAGGAAGTCTCCCACAGTCTTGAGTTTAAGTGACTTGCCCATAGTCACACAGCTAGTAAGTGTCAGAAGCGGGACACAAACCCAGGTCTTCCTTATTCCAAGGCTGGCCATCTATCCAATATCCTACCTTGGGTTTCAACTTACCTATATGGATTGCAAATTTATTGTGTAATTATCAACTTATCAACTCCTATGGTTTTTAAATATCTTGTATATTTAGCATATTTGACATACTTTTATGATCAAAAAATTTAACGGTTTATTACTTGTATGCAATTTTTTTTGGAGGCAATTGGAGTTAAGTGATTTGCCCAGGGTCACACAGCTACTAAGTGTCTGAAGACAGATATGAACTTGGGTCCTGCTGATTCCAGGGCCAGTGCTCTATCCACTGAGCCACTTAACTGCTCCTGTAATTTTTTTAAAAAGGCAAGACAAACCTATTTCAAAGTATGTCAAAGAATAAACACTTCTATTGCTCATTACAGTCACTGACAGCAAAGTCTAAAACAGTCGGTCTCTTAAACCTATGATTCTTAGTACTTACCACCACCTTTCCCCCTGGTCCCTGACTCTGGACAGTGACACCCATCCACTGGTCTTCCTTACTTTCGGAATTAGGGTCAGCTATGATATAAAAAGATAATCACACACATATTTAGCACTTTGAGTTCTCCAAGAACATGAACAAAAATATCTGCTTGCTTCTTTAAAAAAAAAAAATAGAAACTCTGCCCCCAGATTCTACCCAGAGATACATAGATATTATTACCAACCTTGGACGAATTGATAGTTATTTGTAAGGATATTTAAGAACATTCCATATATTGTTTTTTATTTTATTTGTTTTCAATTTATAAAATAAAACAAGCATTTCCATAACAGAATAATAAAATGATGAATACACGTGAAACTACAAATCAATTATGTACAACTTGCTACTCCTTTTAAATATATAAAAAATTTATCATTTCTTCTCTCCCCCATCCCCCGCCATCCTAGAGAAAACTACCAGACACAAATATGTATATATATGTAAAATCATTCTCTACGTACTTATATCTATCAGTTCTTTCTCTGAATGCAGATGGTGTCTTCCTTTATATGTCCTCTGTAGTTAATTTGGGTATTTATAACAGTCAAAATGACTTAGTTGCTCAAAGATGTTCTGAGAACAATATTGCCATTACTATATACAATGTTCTCTTGGTTCTACTCATTTTGCTCTTAACTATTTCATGCAAGTCTATCCATGTTTTTCTAAAATCAACAAGCTCATTATTTCTTATAGAAAGTTAAGAACTCCAGTTCTTTTCTAGGGGATTGGGGGACAGGGAAGTAATCAATGTTAAGTGACTTGCCCAGGGTCACATAGCTAGGAAGTGTCTGAGGCCAAATTTGAACTCAGGTCCTCCTGACTCCACAGCCCAGGCTCTATCCACTGTGCCACCTAGCTGCCTCATATACTGCTGAAATATATAATACTATATATCATTGCTTGTTAACCCTTTCTCCTACCCTCTGACACTCTTAACAACACAAATACCGAATACCACCAAAAATCTACAAATACCAAAAGATATTAATACCACTCTCAAGCCAAGGTAAATAAAGAGATCAACCAAAGATCCATCTCTATAAGGATTGTTAACAAGTGCTTCTTGATGATGGCAAGAGGTAACATCTCACCTCTGTACATTACTGTCATTTGTTCCTACAGGTTACAAGCACAGAAGTTTTTCTTAAACTCCAACTTGTAGCCAAGACAGCAAAAACTAAGCGCTTCTCAGCCGAAGACATCCAGTCAAAGAAGTATAACCGCATAATAATGAGTAACAGCACACTTCTCTGTATTTGAAGTAGAAAAGAGCTCAACTCACTTTTTTTTTTCTTTTTGCTAACAATGTGTTTTCATGTCATCTCCCCCACTGGTAGTACATGAACTTCTTGTAGGTAAGGATTGTTTTTGCCTTTTTTGTACACCCAGTATTTAACACAGTGCATGGTATACAATAGTCACTTAATGGATATTTATAAGTCCCTAAAATGCCAATGACACGAATTACATTTACCAATATAGAATGACCTTCCTCTTCATTTCTATTTTATTTTTAACTAGTAAATCATTCTCCTTCGAGGCAATGTGTTATAACAGAGAGAATTCTGAATTTTGGGTCAGAAAGACATCTATTCAATTTCTGCCTCTGATACATACAAGCTGCTATGGCCATGGGCGAGTCACTCAACCTGTCTAAGCCTCAGACAGCTCTCTAAGGCTATCACAAGATGGTGGAAGTTTCCACACCAACTCACAAATCACAAAGCCTTGACACACTGACATAAGTATTCTTCATTATTTAAGCTAATCAGGGACCTGAAATCTAAGCTCTATTCAAGCGAAGTACAAAAGTTAAGTGAGAAACAACATGTAAGTACCAGCAAGCTCTAACTCTATTTCCAAGTATAACCCACTATGGAGTTTTGCACACGTCCTTCCGTTGATTTCAGCGTTTCTCCCCAAGAAGGCAAAAGTATTAATTCTAATCACTGAGACATAAAGATGACAGTTAATGATTTTGCAACCTAGGACTCTGGTAATAGGAAAATTTAAAATAGCAGCAAGTGGAAGGAACCTATGTCTTTTTTTTCTCACACTGTAAAATGTGTGCAGAAATTATAACTGTAGTTAATAGTCTAGTTAAAACTGTAAAAGAGTAAAGTTGCTGGACATTTCAAGGATAAATGTCTGAAAGTCTCCTGGCAGGGCACCACTAAAAAACTATTTTGTTGTTGTTTAGTTGTTTTCAGTCACATCTGACTCTTCGTGACCCCTTTTTGTGATTTTCTTGGCAAAGATACTGGAGTGGTTTGCCATTTCCTTCTCCAGCTCATTTGACAGATGATGAAACTGAGGCAAACAGGGTTAAGTGACTGGCCCAGGGTGACACAGCTCATAAATGTCTAAGGCCAGATTTGAACTCAGGTCTTCCTAGCTCCAGGCCCCAAACTCCATCCAATATGCCACCTAGGTGCCCTAAAGAACTATAGTAAAAAGTAAATTGGGTGTCAGAGGACAGCAAAACAGTGAGCAGTATCCCACTCACTATGGTGCCAGATAAAAACACAATATGAGATAGTAAGGGGAATGCTGACCTTGGGGATTGGAAAGACCTGCATTTCAGATTCTGGCAGATACTTATTAACTATGTGATGCTTATTAACTGTCTGACAGGTCATGTTTCCTCACTTGTAAAATGAGGATAATAACCCACATACCTCACAAGGCTGCTACCAGCATCAAATGGGACAATGAATGTAAAGCATTTTGCAAGTCTTTAAAGCACTATATGAAAGGGAGATATCATTACTATTACTCACAAGGTAAGTTTCTAACCGAGCACCCAGAATTTTAATCATGTTTTCAACTTTCACCTTAGGAAAAAGACCTGGTGTTTAAAATAATCTTTTACTTTCAAATATTTTTCATACCAAATGTGGATATTTGATTGCTGAGAATAAAATGCAAACTCTCTTTTTCTCTGCCACAAATTCCTTCTTAAACAATGGCTTTATGCAGTACCTCAATTTGTCAATAGGTGGCAATATCAGCACGCTTTATTAGTGAAAGGTGGTGTTTTTTAATTAACTGGCAATCCTTGTTAGGATGGAAGCAATAAAAAGAACTTTTTAAACACCTACCTGAGATTTGGGAGCTCATTACTTCATGAAAGAAAAAGTTTTAAATACAAACTATCAACATACAACTGTTAATGAAACATGTAAACAAGGGTGTTTTATCCCCGAATAGAGCTGGAAAGCACTTGGTCACCTAGTCCAAACACCTCCATTTATAGATGAGGAAACAGATGCCCAAAGATATTGGGTGACTCACTCAAGTTCACACAGTGAAAAACAGAAGCGGAATTTGAACCCAGGTCCTCTAACTACAAAGTTGGCCCCCTTTCCACTTATACCTCAATAATCCATTATGGAAACAGTTAAAGGAGGAAGAGTGACAAATTCACAAAAGTCACCACCCGCTAACATGATTCCTCACTCTAAGACCTCCAGAAATTGTATTTTTCTAAATAAAGTCAGGAAGAATTTACCGTCGTTATCAAATTCAATGCGTTGGCAAGGCTCCTGGGATGTGATGTCACAGCTGTACAGGCCTCCTGTCCGGTTGGCCTTCTGTAGTGGAAAAGCTCTGGCTCGAGGCGCCCCAACCAACAACCTGTAAACAAGACAAAAGTAAAGAGGGTGTTTGAGCATGCTTGGAGAAGTCAGCATCTCTAAGATTAGCCAAAACAAAGCTACCTTACAATGGCTGGTCACAGACTGATAGATTCTACAGGCCTGAGGCAGCCTTATCCGTTTACAAATGGCTGTACAAATTTAAAAATTTAGCTGCTCTCTCAGAACCTGTCTGTTTACTCCTTAAGACATGGCACCCTCTCCTCATGTCCCATTACTTATCTCACTGTTCCTCTCATTGCTCTGGCCACATTTAGACTGTAAACTCCTTGAGGGCAGGGACTGTCTTTTGCCTCTTTTTACATCCTCAGTGCTTAGCACAGTTCCTGATACATAGTCGGTACTTAATAAATATTTACTGAATTGAACTTAAAGGGTAACAGGAGCCCTTAATCAGTTTTATGTCATGGACCCCTTTGGCAGCCTGGTGAAGACTATCAGTCCCCTTCTCAGAATGCATACAAAATTAATACATAATGTACTATATCTATAGATACAGTTGTATAACAAACAACTATGTCCATCTTTTATCTCTACTATATAGCTATATCTATCTATAGATTAAAAAATGGACACAGTTGTTTGCATGTTGTTCCCCTCGTTAGAATGTGAGCCCTTTAAGGACACTCTCTTTCTCTTTCATCCTCAGCACTTAGCACAATGCTTGGCACACTGTAGGCACTTAATAAATGGTTACTGACTGGCAGAAAACCAATTATATTGAAATAGTTATCAAAATAGTTTTCAAAAAGTTCAGATACCAGGTTAGGCTTCCCTGTTTTAGAAAGTCTGCTTTCCTCTTCAAGTGATATTCTATCAACCCAACCATTATGAAGGACTTACTTTGTGATTCTATGGTGGGTGGTTTTCCTGTGTCCTATTTAATGCTTTCCCAGCAGCTCCAACCTTCTAGGTTTGGATCAAAGTAAAATTGCCCATCTTTGGAATCAAAGAATTTTAGGGTGGGAAGAGAGGCCAACAATCTCTTTAATTCTAGTAATGCTGTGTCATTGTTGGGATCTGTTCTGCATAGATAACCCAGGGCAATTATGGAACAATCAGGAGTAGTAAAATGAAAACAAACTGAGTGGAGGGTAAAGGTATGCAGATGAAAGAGAGGAGAGGAGGCCACTGGAAGAGAATCAAAAGGAGAAAATGAAAAATAACTATTACAACCACTACTCCCCCCACCCCAGGGTACATTCACATTCCCCAGGTGGCTTGTATTTTTCTGGACAGGAGAAGGGAGATGAAGGGAGGAATAGTGTGGAAGAGATTGCTAAGTAAGCTCTACCTAAGTCTGTCCAATTTTTAGGTCCAATAACATCGTACAGTATTGTCATCAGTTCTACAAATAGCTATTAATAATCTGCTATGTGAGGAGCACCAACAAGTATGTGAGTGGAAGGGGTAAATGGAAAAGGTGACACAGATAACTAACACACAGTCTTTATGAGCCCTGCCTAGTGATATGACATAATGGGGATTAGCCAAGACTGCTTAATAGAGGTACTATATATACCCACTGGGCACTTGGGAGACTTGGGTGGGTACACTGGGGTAAGAACACAAAAGAAATGAAAGGCAGTTCCCTAACCTTAAGAAGCTTACAAATCTAGTTGAAGAGATAAACCAGCATACATGAAACATTAAGACTTTACAGATCCCCATAATTAAATTCAATTCGACAAGCATTTATTAAGTACTTGCTATGGACAAGGCACTGGAGATGCAAAAACCAAAACAAATCAAAAGTCCTTAAGATAAAGTACCAAGAGAATAGAAATAAAGGCGTGTTTAGAATAGGGGTTCATGGGTGAGAATATCAAACTGTTTTGAACATGTCTGTGCTGTACTATAATCTTTTTTAGGTGGTAAGCTAAAGAGGCAAAGGGATGTTCTTTGCCACGTCTCAGGAACATCTAGTATAGGTGGTGCTCTACAAATAGCAGGCATTCAATTCATGTTGTCACCTGACTGACTGCTGTTCTGATCGATGGCTGCATTTAGAGGAAAGATCTGGCAGATGTAATTTTCTACGGCTCTTGCTGAATGCTGTGCCAGCAGTACAGGACTGGTCCAGGTTCCTTGTTTCTTTTTTTTTTAATTAATTTTTTTCAATGAATAAAAATCTATTTCCCCCTCCATCACCCCATTGAGAGAGATAGAGAAGGGAAGAGAGAAGAGGTGGAAAGGGGGAAGAGAGGAAAGAGAGGGGAAGAAATGAGAGGGGGGGAGATTAGAAAGAAAAAGAAGAGGAAAAGAGGAGAGGAGAGAAAGAGAGAAGAGGGAAGAAGGAGAAAGTGAGGGAGATAAAGAGGAAAAGAGAAGAGGGAGGGAGAGGGACAGAGAGAGAGAAGAGGGGAGGAGAAGAAAAGAGGGGAGGGGGAAGAGAAGAGAGAGAGAAAGGGAGATTAGAAAGAGGGAGAAGAGGAGAGAGGGAGAAGAGGAGGGAGAGAGAAGCGGATGTGATAGTGATAGGAGAAATTGAGGGAGATAAAGAGAAGAGAAGGAGAGGGAAGAGAGAAGAGGAGAGGAGGAAGAGGGAGAGAGAGAGAATGTGTGTGTGTGCGCACACGTGTGTGTTAGGGGAGGTGGTGTGTGTCACAAGGTCAGACCTGTGCACTAAGAAAATCCCTCTGTCAGCTGTGAGGAAGAAAGATTCACTATAAAGAGATGAGGTAGGAAGACTAATTAAGAGGCTAATAAAATAGTTCAGCTGGGAGGTAAAGAGTGAAAGTGAAGAGGGCCTGGACCAGGTGGGTGGTAAGTGTGAGAGGAGAGGAGGGGGCAATGCAAGAGATGTTGTAGAGAGAGGAAAGACAAAGAAGATATGGCGACAAATCAAATACGTGGGGTAAAGAGAGTAACGAGTCAAGGATGAAGCATTTTTTGGAAGCATTTATTAAGCACTTACTATATACAAAATAACGTGCTAAGAAAAATAAGGCAATCCCTGCTCTCAAGGAGTACAGTTCTATGAGGATGATACTTATACTGGTTACCTGGGAGATGAAAGAATGGTGATGCCCTCCAGGGAATTTTGGAAAAGAAGTAGGGTTTTGGAATGAAATGGAAAAAATTTTTAAGTACTTACTATGAGCCAAGCATGTGAATACAAATAAAAAAGCAAGGCAGCCCTGCTCACAGAGTTATTGGGAGAGCTGATATATATAGGAGAGTTAGGATGAAATGTGCATGAAAAGATCCAGGAGTCAATAAAGCATAATAGCATGGTTGATGCCAAGGTCTGGGGGTCCTTAGGCTTCACTGGTGTGAGGAAGGGAAATCCTGGTAGAATCCAGGTGGGTAGGTGGAATTCTGGGTAGGACCACTGGAACACAAAAGACTGCTGCACTGGTCTAGAGTGCTCTGGATTTGGGAGAAAGATCATGAATTCTATTTCGGACATGCCAAGTTTGAGATGCCTATTAGACATCCAGTTGAAAAGTCCAGTAGGCAGTTTGGTGGTATAGGGTTGGAGCTCAGGAGAGAGACTAGGGTTAGACAAATAGATCTCTGAGTCATCTTCACAGAGGTGATTATTGCAACCATGGCAGTTAATATGGTCTCGAAGAGGAGAGCGTAGGAAAAAGAGAAGAGGGACCAAGACAGAGCCTACATACATTATAGGAGGGGGTACAGATGATGATACAACACTGGAGAAGAAATTGGCAGGCAGGTAAGAGGTGAACCAAGGGTGAAATGTTAGGGAAATCCAGGAAGGAGAGAAGTATCTAGTAGGAGAAAATGGTCCTTAGTATCAAATGCTACAAAAGGATGAAAAGAACAAGGATTGAGAAATGGACATGAGATTTAGAAATTAAGAAATCATTGCTGACTTTGAAGGGAGAGATTTGCAGGGTGTGATGAGGCTAGAAGCCAGAATGCAGAGGGTTTAGAAGGGAGTGAAAAGAGATTAAGTGGAAGCAAGGATGGGAGGTGAATTGAATGTGTTTTTAGGCAGTAGAAAAGGAACTAGTAAATAGGGAAAGATGGAAAACAGGAAGTCAAAGATAAGAGTGAATCGACAAGGAGGGGAGGACAGAAAAGGGGGGGGATACACAAAGAAGGGGAGAGAGACGAAGAGGGGCAGAGAGATAAGGGGAACAGAGAGAGGATAAGGGGGGAGACAAAGTGGGGAAGACAAAGCCAAGGTGCAGAGAGAGAGAGACAAGGGAGAGGGAGAGAGACAGAGAGAAAGAGACACAGGGAGACAGAGACAGAGAAACAGACAGATAAAGAGACAGACAGAGACAGAGAGAGAACCAGGGTAATATGCTGGGGAAGATGGGAAGGGATAGAATCAACAGCACATACACACAAGCTGACTTTGTTAAGGAAAAAGATTACCCCTTCATTAGAGGCCGATTGATCATCAGAGGAATGTAAGTAATGTACATGCTCATGCATATTAAAATATCAAGCTGATTTTTTTAAACTTATAATCTAGTATACAGTAAACAGTGCATATATCTGCATGGTGATGGCAGAGTTTTCAGAAGAGTGAAAACAAATTTGTCTTTAAAAAAGCCAAAAGGAAAAGAAAGGAAGTGGTATATTATGCTGTCACATTCCCTCAAAGTCAGGTTTGCCCTCATTACTGCCTACCCTTTAAATGGCAACAAGCCTGTACTCAAAAATCTTTGAAATGCTCCTTTCCACCCCCCTACCCTCACCCTTACTCCCATAAAGCCCCTCTAGCCAGATCTTTTCCTCCCTCATCCAGGTAAATCCCTGTTCTTCATCATTCCATAGGAAGGAGAAATAAGGAGCACTGGAGGAAAAACAAGAACTAGCCAGCAGAGGGCCCCTTGATCTCACTCATGCAAGAACTGCTCAGTTATCCAAGATTATTGTTCAGCCGTTTTTCAGTCATGTCCGAATCTTTGTGATCCCATTTGTTTTTTTTTGTTTTGTTTTTTTTCTTGGCAAAGATACTGGAGTGGTTTGACATTTCCTTCTCCAGCTCATTTTACT